TTAATTTTATTTATTAAAATTATTATAATATTAATATTTATTACTTTATTATTTTAAGGTTAAGTATTATCTTTTTTTATTATAATATTAAAAATACCTTTATATTATTATAAGGCAAAGTAAAAAGCCTTAAATATATTTAATTACTCCTTATAATTAAGCTAAGCTTTTATTATAAAGATTAAGCTATTAATTATTAATAATATTTTATATTTATTTAATTAATTTTAAGCCTTTGCTATATAAGCTAATTAATTAAATTAAGTAAGAAATTTTATTATTTCCTCTTTATAACGCTATTGCAATATAATTAAGCTAAGCTTAGCATATCTTTACTTAAAAAGGTCCTTAAATATAAGGCAAACCTTTTTTAAAAAGCTTTTTAGCTACCCCTTAAATATTTTTATAAAATTAATATAAGATAAAAATTAATTATGGAAAGTTCTTAGCTAACTAAATATATAAAAAAATTAAGCCCCTTTAGCATTAATTACCTCCCTATTTTTATAAACTTAACCCTTATTTTTATTAATTATGTTACTAAGTATTCCTAAAATAAGAATTCCTTAAAATAAAAAAGGGCTTAATAAGCTATTATTATTCTTTTTAAATTTTATTATATTAAGTTTTATATAATTATATTATAAATTTATAATATAAAAGGATTTTAAATATATATTATAAGCTTACCTTAGGTTATTTACCGTAAGGTACCTAAATAAGGTTTATATTTAAAGTATAAAGGAGAAGGTTTGCTTTTTATTTGCATTTGCATTAAAGCTTATTCTTATAAGGCCAAAGCTTATTAACTAATTATAATGGGCAAAGCTTAAACCGTAATAATTATATATCTTTATAATTAAGCTTAAAAAGGTTATTTCTTTTAATAAGAATTTGCATTTCTTTAGCTTAATATATAATTTAGCTTTTTATAAGATAATTAAAATTAATTATAAATATTCTTTATATTTTAATTAAACATAGCTATAAATTAAAATATTATTAAGGTAAGTAATATAAAATATATTTAAGTATAGTTTTAAGGCATTATTAATAAATCTTTAAAAGGTTAATAATGTAATAATAAGTTTAAATGGCATTATTATAGTTTTAAATAACTTAAAATAAATATAAAAAGCAGTTAAGTATTTTTCCTCTTTATATATTTATAAGTTATTAAAGGTAATAATAATATTAATCTTTAAAAAATATTTTATTTCTTTTAAAATATTTAAGGACTTCTTAATTAAAAGCAGCAGATATTAATCTTTAATAATAATATTATTTAAGGCGCAGTAATTTATATAAAATTGAAGGCCTTTTTAAAAATTTTATATAAATAAAATAAGTAACGCTATATAAAAAGAATTAAAGTAAATAAAATCTTTTCATAAGTTTTTATTTAATTATTCTTTTAAGATAATAATTTTATTGCAAAATATAATATATAATAAGCTAAATATAATAATTATATAAGTAATATAAAGATAGTTTTTTAACTTTCTTAAATAAGAAAATATTTAAAAACTCTTAAAATTTATTAAGCAATATTTTAAGCGGATTTAAGTTCTTTTAATAAGAAATATTAAACTTAATTTTAAATATCTTATTAATTTACTTTAAGGTTATTAAAAATAAGTGATAGCTATTTTTAAGCATAAATAGTAGCTGCTTTTAAAGTAACTTAACAAGGCTTATATTTCTTAAAAATGTTAAGATAAGATAAGAGTTAATAAAAATAATTAATCTTTAAAATATTTTATAAGGCCTTTATTTTAAAGGGCTTTTTAAATAAGTTGCAATTTCTTTAATAATATTTATTATTAAATATAATTATATAAGCAGTAAAATAAATAATTAAGTTGTATTATTTTAATTATAATAATTTTAATATAATAAGGTAATAAGCTAGTTAAATAATAAATATTATTATATATATTTAATAATAATTATTAATTTAATAAAATAAATAAGCGTAATAAAATATAATTTGCTTTAAGCTTTATTTATTAATTACCTTTAAGCTAAATAATTTCTTTAAACATAATAAGGAAATTCCTTAAGCTTAAACCCATTCCTTATTAATAAAAACCTTTCCTTTAATTTTAATATTAATTAAAGCATAAATAAGTATTTCCTTTCCTTTTAATATTAAGTATATAAGCAATATAAATATATTTAAGCATTAATTTTACTTATCCTTAATAATTAATTTAATAATAATAATAATAATAATAATAATAATAATAATAATAATAATAATAATAATAATAATAATAATAATAATAATAATAATAATAATAATAATAATAATAATAATAATAATAATAATAATAATAATAATAATAATAATAATAATAATAATAATAATAATAATAATAATAATAATAATAATAATAATAATAATAATAATAATAATAATAATAATAATAATAATAATAATAATAATAATAATAATAATAATAATAATAATAATAATAATAATAATAATAATAATAATAATAATAATAATAATAATAATAATAATAATAATAATAATAATAATAATAATAATAATAATAATAATAATAATAATAATAATAATAATAATAATAATAATAATAATAATAATAATAATAAATAATAAAGAATTAAAGATAATACTTTATAAAAGCTTAAAGGCAACTTATCTTAAACTTATATTATTTATTAAGCTTTAAGTAAGGAAGTTACTTTATTTATAAATAAAAGAATAAGGTATAATATAAATAAATAAATAAAAAAGTAAAGATAATATTAAGAAAGTAAAATAAAAGCTATATAAGTAAAATTAATAAATATTTAATTAAAAGCATTAAGCTATAAAGTAATTAAAAAACCTATAATAATAATATTTATAACGTTTCTTATAATTATTATTATAGTATTAAGAATTTAAGTTTATAAGATTTTTAATTAAGGTTTATTATATAAGTAATTTTAAGGTAAAAATAATAAGGGTAGTAATAATAAGCTTAATAAGGAGTATAATAAGGCGTTAAATTAAGCTTTAAATATATAAAATTTATTATTAATATTAATAATTATTTAATGCTTAAAGGTATTAAATAAACTTATAATAATTTTAAAATAAGGTAAGGTTATAAAAAAGTATATTTTAAAGCTTATAAGAAATGCTTTAAAGTAATAAAGGGGTTAAAGCTTTCTTAATCATTTCTTCTTTTAAGGTTAATTATTAAAACTTAAATAAAAAAAATTAAAATTAAGGTTTTTTTACTTTTAAAAATATATTTAATTTTAAGTATTTTAAATTAAGTTAAAGTTTTTAAAGGCATTTTTTAAGTATATAAATAGCTTTAAATAATTAATAAATTAAGAAATTTTATAAGTAATTTTAAGTAAAATTAACTTATATACTTTTCTTATAAAACATTTAGCTATATAAGTTAAGTAAGTAATTATAAATAAAAATTAATCCTTATTAATACTTATTTTAATATAAATTTATTAAATAAAGCATTAAAAATCCTTTTAAGTTTTATTAAACTCTTTTAAGTTAAATAATTTTTTTATTAAGCTAAATAAAACTTAAATTTAAGGTAAAAATAAGTAAAAACACTCTTAATATAATATTTATTAAGGAATTAATATAATAAGTTTTAATAAAAGCAAGTTTAATATTAAGTATATATATAATAAAAGTAGTGGCATTTAAAAGGCGAAACTTCTTAAGTTTAAGTTATATAATCTTTTCTTATATAGCTTTATATAAGCCCTTTTAATAATAAAACACTTTTTTATTAACAAAAGTATTAAAGTATAAAAAAGCAATTATAGCGTTGTAATTTAAGATTTTAATTTAAAAGAAAGAAACTTTCTTTTTTAAAGCAAAAGCATATTAATTAATATTTTATAAATATAATATTTAATTAAGGGCATATTTTATAACATAACGTATTAACTCCTTTAAAGAGTTAATATTTAAGAGTGAATTAAGGCATTTAAATATATTATTAATGTTTAAAGGGAAAGAGCTATGTAATGTTATAATAATAAGCAGGTAGGTTTAAGTAAGTAAATATTAAGCAGGTAATTAATAATTTAATAGTTATATATAAGCTTTATCCTTAATAAATATAAGCTTTATTAATAAGATATAGCTTAAAGAGCTATAAAATAGGTTTGGGATGGTTATAAAGTTTTATTTAAGTTAGCAGCTTATGTAATTAAACTCCAACCCCCTTGAATTAAGCAGCAATTTGCAGCGGACCGCTTTTAAAAAGCCAGGGTTATAATATTATTAAGGCTTAAAAAAGGAGAAAAAAGATATATAAATTAATATTTATATTATAAATAATAATAAAGCTATTAATTAAAACCTTTAAATTATTATTATTAATGCCTTTATTTTAATTATAATTATTATAAATATATTTATTATTAATTTAAACTTATCTTTTATTAATTAAATTAATAAGCTTAATTAAGCCGTTAAATTTAATTAAGCTATTAAATTTAAGTAAGTTAATAAACTTAATAAAATTATTAAATAAGTTACTAAATTTAATAAATTTATTAATTAAGTTAATAAATTTAATAAGTAAAATAATAAAAAGAATAATAAAAATAAATAATAAATAAATTAAGATTAAAAACTTTTAATAAAGAATTAATTATAAGATTATTTAATTACATTAAAGCGCATAAGGATATATGCATTTTTTAAAAGCTAGGCATATTAAGGGATAACTAAGCACTCCCTTTTCTTTTAATATATCATACCTTTCATAGCCCGCTTAGCATTAGCTTCTCTTATATACACATACTTTGCAAGATACTTTAATTAAATTGGCTGTTAGTAACCCCATTTAGTTCCCTGATCTGGTTCTAGAAGCCCTTGTGTGCCTCGTTACACTGGGCCGAAGCTGGGCGCCGTGTTTGTACTGCAGTATTTTCAGCAAGAGCTTTTACAAAGTCACACCAGACCGCACTTTATCGGGCGAAACGACAAAGCCAAGACCTTACAAGAGGATAAGAGTGCCAGTGTATGAGCCTCTTTCTTCAATTTTGGCGACATCGGAGATTACCCCGTGTGCCGCACCGAAGGTCCCTGACGAGCCGGCGCTCTGTATAATTCTCAATGCAAACAGTACCGGGTACGAGTCTTGCACAGCCAACCCGATATTGGCGCCTAGCATGAGAACAAACATCAGGAGATAGACAGGTCTCCTCCCGTCATGGTCGGCCAGATCTCCCATCACAGCCGGGGCCAGCCCAGCCACAATCAGATAGCAGGTGATCGTCAGATTGATAAGGGCAACGGAGACGTTCAGATCCCTGGCCATTGGCACGACGGCAGGGAAATAGATGAAACTGTTAAGAGTAGAGAACATGGCCCCGAATGAGGCCATCCAGCTTATCCATCGCTTCTGCCCGCGGGTGAAGACAGAAAACGGGGGCTCTGGGGTGGAAGCGTCGATGGACACTGCACCATTGTCGAGTTCCTTTTCTGCGAGCTTCTTCCTCCTCCTCCTCCTCCTCCTCCTCCTCCTCAACCTCGGCCGTCGTAGCTGATGGTGTTTGATGTTTTTTTTCTTCCTTGGTGGACTCCATTGCTCGCTTAGGTCAACTCAAACAAAAACTGGTCGATTTAAATGTTTCCCAGGATATACGGCGCTCCGCAGAACGAGGGAACGTCAAATAAGTGGGATGGACTTCTTCTGTCGGACTCGTGGGCGAACAGGCAGGGATGCGACATTGAGAGCGGGGACGGAGGCGCAGGGAATCATCAACAGACCAACTTTTTACAAGGTGCAGTAGTGTCAAATAATTTTAGATCCAGTGTTGAGTACTATTGAAGCAGATCCGGAAATAATGACTGCCAATCCTGCGGGATGCATGTGCGTGTTTAAGGGCACACAAAAATTGTAATGCGCTCTGGAGTCCATTAAACATACAGCTTCTCTTTGCCCGTTCTTATAATAGAGTTTCGAGTTTTTGGTCCGCTACCCGTAGATTTGCAGCTCTGCGCGTACTTTTACACAGTGTGATTGGTTGTAAGGAATTCTCCTGGGATCGATCCAACGCAAACATTGAATGAGCGAATTGCGGCAGTGAGCACTGTCACAAATCCTTGAATTGGAATCTCTCTGTGGACGAGAAGTGCTCGGATACAAAATGATGCGTTGGTCTACGAGCTTGTTCCGGCATTCTATGAGACTTCGCCCGCATTTGTTCCCATTTTTATAGGCTCAATTCGACTAGATTGCAATGAGGACGGTCCCGTCAAAGCTTTGTCTGCCAGCTTTTGAATCGCTTGAAAAGCACTAAGAAGAGTAAGCCTTCTAGAGACTTGAAGACTCCGTGCAGACATCTGGGTCCTTGTAACTTACAGTACTCTTCGGTTTGGTTCTCTAAAGTACATGGCAGATCGACGAACCAATCCTTTGAACCCGTACAGCTCAAGACGATTGTCATAGTCTTTCTGAGGCTCCGATACGCCCATTAATTCCCTATAGATTTCACCATGACGTTCGAGGTTCCAAACTTCACGGCGGGTGACGCCAAGATCCACTACGAAGTCGATGTTTAGTCATGCAGGTCACTGGTCTGTCTTTGTGCAGGAAGCTCACTCTCATTATGGCCCCATATGGCCGCGGAATCGAAGATGCACAACTTGTCTGGAGAATCTGAGTGCGGCATGGTGTTACCGGGCCATAGGTCACAATGTAATAAGCACGGCTGAATGGACCGCCCCTCAGACTCGAGTGGTCTCAGATACCGGGGAATGATAACTTCGAACAGGACTTTCTTCGCCTTGGTCCATTCGTCCTGGGGGCCTCGCTGTTGCTCCTCTATCTCACACAGAGAGCTCATCACGTTGGAGAAACATTCTTCCCAAGTTGAGCTCCAGCTGCTGCTGATTGGTATGTTGGCTATTTTCCGTTGGTCAGCAAGATAATTCCAGGGCTCGGATAAAATTTGGATACCAAGCCAACCAAAGGAATTGCCCCATTTGGCTCTGGGAGACGCTCTTGGTGTTGGGGCTGTTTCCATCGGAAATATCGCCAGGGCAGTGACAAACACGATGATACATAGGTAAATTAGAAAAGGGACATACCTAAATGAGTGGTTGAATGAAACCCGAATTTTCTTTTGGGGGATTTTCCCATAGTTCTCGCATGCAATGTGGAAACGCAGGTCGCCCAGTCCTTGACATTGGGGGGTACCTCGTCCATCTCCACGAAGTCGGCTCTGTATAATGTCAGATCGGCTCATCTGAGAGCTTGCGCGGGGAACACGGGCATCGACAGATCATACATGTAGAAATGCGCGTCCGTTAGAGACTTGTAAGTGCCAAAGGCTACTGGCCGGGCGACATACTCGGGAATGAAAGTCGTACAAAGTCTTCTCTGACTCAAATGTACCCTTCACCATGAGTAGGCCGGCCGCTCCAGCTGCACCCTGATGAGAGCTTGTAAGCTGGACGCTTGGGGACTGTCACGAGAAGAACGATTTACCTTTTTGAAGATCACTTGGACACTGCCATCGGGGAGCTCGACTTCTATTCTCATTGTCTCGACCCAGAGGGCTTTGGCCAGCTCGAGATGTCGATATCACTCTGCATCCAGCAGGCAGAGCTGGCAGGGTTTGGTCAGTACCGAGTAGAGCATGTGTAGCAGTGGCTTGAGGGCGGCTGGCTCAAGATACCTTCCATGATGCCCTCATCCAGGAGGACATTCTCGCCAAAGGGATCAATGCCCTCCAAACGAGCTGCTAAGTCAATTTTGACCATACTGAAGCCCTGCCTTCGTCGAATTACTTTGCGCGACGGCTTCTGAATAGACTCTGGATAGAAGGGACAAGATTTAACAAGCACTACTCAATTTGGTGGTCTCGCGGAGTCTATCAAATGCTTAGGAGCCCTCCATGTCTGTTGGGGGCTGGTGACTGGCGAAAATAGCCTACCCGGACGGACGATGTCGTTTCTTGGGTCAGGCTAAGTGCGGCCTGCTGGCCATTGAAACACCAGCTGCAAGCGCCGGCGTGCTTCGAGACCGCCAACTGCATGATTGTCAACGGATCGAGGTTGTAAATCCGCAGCTAATTGTGCAAAGCAGAGGCACAGCCCCTGTTGCTGGAGTGTAGGAGGATATATGCCGGGAAGCTGGTGTCACCCTGGTGATTCCCCGCAGCACCAACCTACTGTACAGTGGAAATGCATTGGGCCGGGCAAACTCCTACGTGCCTACTCAGATCCTGCGGATTGACCATTGCGTGCAAGTCGCTTGTAACTCACTGGTAAAGTTTAATTGCGCAGGGTACGAGATGCCCTCAACTTCTGTCGAGGTTTCTTTCCACAGCAGTGTTCCAAGGGGGCAAAGCTTTTGTCAATGAACTTCTTCCTGGATCGGGGACATTGCAGGTAGGGCAGACTTCGAAATACGCTCGGCCAAAGTGGTTCGACCTTCTTGGCTTCTTTGGACATGACACTGATGGACCCTATCTCAGGCAATCAATGACGAGTTCCGTTATGTCTGTAAAGACTTGCAACTATGGTCTTTCTTTGAGGGAGTTCCGACCAAAATTGGCGTTACCTCTATACTTATTGTTGAGGGAGAATCGGCCGTTATGGGTATGCTTAACGCGAGATCACCACACGTCTGAATTTACACACTGATATTTTCTTATGCAGGGCTCCCAGGCGAGCACACACAGTACCTCGACGCCGATCATCGACGTGTGTGCAAGTTCGACAGCCCCTACCACCCGAATTATCTGATATTGAAGAGATGTCTTCTAACTGCCGTTGAAGAAATCGGAATGAGCTGCAAGTAACATCCATTACACCCATACGCACACTTCTGACAACAGCAATAGATGATTCCCGCCGCCATGGCGACTTCAAATCGGAGATGAGGCTAATATCAGCCTCCTTGGGCGTCGAAGAACGACCAGACGCTGAAATTCTCACGATGTCGGGGAAGCAGCGTCCGGGTACCTGCTCCTGGCTGACGGCACGTCCATCATTCTATGCATGGGGCGAGGGACAACTAGATAATGACCCTCCAAAGGACGCTCAAGACTGCCCATGTTTCAAGACAATTCCATACAAATCTATGAATGGACAACATTCCGGTATTTGACTCCGGAAGGTGGTATACCCATAGCCATATCCGATCAGGCTTACGTATCACTATCACGAGAATGGGCGGTCCCAGAGGATTCCGACTTCTTCATCAATGCAGGTCGCCTCGAAGACGGCCAAGATGGCTTCATTTTCGTCGACATGTCGCAGCTGCAGCCTGACAGCGAGGAGGCCCCCACAAGATGTGTCAAGCAGTTGCTCGAGAGCAATGTGAAGAGAGTGCTGGGCTTGCACAAGTCCTCGCTCCTGTTCCTGGACAGCAGGGGTTGGATTTGCTCTGTGCTTAAGAATCTCCCCGATGCGAAGAGCTACACAAGGCATTTCTTTGTGCCGCCAACCTGGATGGCAGAGACGGGTTTTCTCATCAAGATTGTCTCCAAGAGCAGCGTTTCTCTTGTTCATAGGGATGAGCTGGTTGTTTTTTGAGGCTTTCTGGATTGTGAGGAGAAAGTGCTGTTCAGAAAAGAGACTGGAGCGAGGCTCAAACGCTCGCAGACTCTGAAGGCATGTTAGATCAGATCATTTAGAAAGAGACAGCGAGTATATGGATAGAGATGAGCTCAACTGAGGAACCCATGAGGCTGCAATTGGTACTCACACAATGGTTTCTGATGGCTTGTGAAGTAAGGAGAGTGATGGAGTAGACTCCAATTCCCAATACCCGACTGGAGACCCCCCTCCCAACCCCATCCCTAGCTGCCGAGACCCTAACCCTCTCTTGCCCGGTGGCACTGCCAACAGTGGAGGGGCTGGAGCTTCGAGCTCAGGAACAGCTTCACTGACCACATCTAAAACGCTTGCCTCCCACAACCTGTTCTCGGACTCCTCGGCAACAACCTGCCCACACCGTCGACCCGTCCAGCAGTCTCCTAGAAACATCTCACCACACCCGACCAGAGAACATGGCAAACCCCAAGGCCGACAAGATCGAAAAAATCATCACGCGGCTGCAAGCCCGCATCGGTGAGGGGCAATACTACGAAGCCCAGCAGCAGACCCGCGTGGTGGCAGCGCGGTACATCAAGGCCTCGAACTGGAACGCGGCGATCGAGATCCTCGACAATGTGGCGCAGTCGCTTCTCAAGGCTGGCGAGGGCGGCAGCGGCGGCGATCTCTGCGTGTTCCTGGTCGACGTCTACAAGCAGGCCGAGCTGAAACCAGACGCCACCTCGCGGGGCAGGCTGTTGACGTGCCTGCGGCTGTTCCCGGCCGGGGAGCCGACGAGGAAGAAGTTCGTTGGGGAGATGATTGCGTGAGTGTCACTTGTGCCTGTGGACGCCCCTCACCAAAGAACCACCCGCGATGATCACGATGGCTAACACGCACGGCCTGGCAGATGGTCCTCCAAGTTTGGCGAGTACCCCGCGGGGGACCCAGAACTACACCACGTCGCAGGCAGCCTGTACGCTTCGGAGCACGAGACCTACGAGGCAGAGCGCCACCTGGTCCTGGGCACGCGCGACTCGGCCGAGGTGCTGACACGCATTGAGTACGAGTGGTACAAGGAGGACGGCAGCCACACGGCGGCCCTGTACTGTGCGCGCGCGGTGCTGCCGTACCTCCTCGTCGCCAACGTGCGTGCGGCCAACACGTCCTACAGGGCCTTCACGTCCGCGCTTAGCGAGGAGAAGGGCGCCGGGCTGGGCGTGCAGGACGTCGCCTCGGGCAGCACGGACGTGCGCATCTTCCCCAGCCTGCCGCTGCTGAACTTCCTGGGCCTCCTGCTACTCGCCGTGCAGAAGGCGAGCCCGGACCTGTTCAAGCAGCTGCAGGCCAAGTACGCGGCGCACATAGCGGAGGCCGGGGCTTGGGATGAGTCGCTCGAGATGATTGCCGAGATGTACTTTGGCATCCAAAGACCGCGGCAGAACAACCCACTGCTCGACATGATGGGCAGCCTGTTCGGGGGCGCGCCCGGCGGGGGTGGTGCCGGGGCGAGGAAGCCGCCTGTCAGGCGGGTTGAGGCCCCAAGTGCTGAGGGTCTAGATTAGAGGGGCGGGTAGCCATAACCCTGGCTGATATTGGTACTGTTGGTGATGGATGATACATGATACCCACAGACAGCATAGCAAGTTCGGCATAGGAAAAGTATTAGGTGATATCCCGTCTGGTCTCAGACCAGCCGTGGTTCGTCCTCCTTCTCATACATCCAATTGTCTTCTGACAAGGCCGCGACTTTGGCTCTGAGACTGGCCCTTACGGCTTCGAATAATTCTTGGAAGTCCGGTGTAAGTAGACGTCCACAAGCAGTGAAGGTGGCATGGTAGTAAGCACTCACCCTCTGGCTGAGCCGGAACACTATTCTGGTTCACGATGTTCTGGTGGTGCTTCACCGCGTCGGCGAGTCTCTGCCTCTCCTCTGTATGACAAGCCATGATCAGCGTCCCGAGCCAACCTCTAGACAACAACATAAAATCATGATGCATCATCATTGCAGCTAGCTCACTCTCGTTCTCTTGGCGCATGTCAAGCGCGATCTCGTCTGGATCGTCCACCACCAGCGTCGGCGGCTCGTCCAGCTCTACTTCCCCGTTCTTGTCGCGGACCACAATGTCAGACGACGCAGACTCGTCCTCCTCTACCTCCATGCCGCCGAGGTCGCCCGCGTTCCTGCCAGGCGCCCCCGCCTCGTTGGGGTTGCTGCTGCCAGGTCCTGCCGTAGGCCGTCTTGTGAGCTGGCCCTGGAAGAGGTTCCTGCGGACACCAGCGTTGGACGAGGCGTTTGGGTGAGGTGGGCCGCCTGGCTGTGGTTGTTGCGCGGCGGACGGTGCGGGTGGGTGAGGTTGTCTTGTGTCTGAGTATGAGACGGTCGCGGCTGCCGACGCGTGCCTCCGACCGAAGACGGTCTGCCGTGGGTGACCGTACCGATCTGTCATTATGAGTCCAGGGACCACAGAGGGTAAAAAAAACGATTTGGTTATGAGGTATTGGACTTGGTGTAAGTGAAGGTGTAAGTAGGCCGTGCTGTTCTATGTATTCTGTAATTGTTGTTAATCTGTTTACTAGCCTTCGAGGTACTGATGCGGCGATACAGCCTCTAAACTGAGGTCTAGCGGGGCGTTCCCTGTAGGCCCAGCCGGACCTGAGAGCCCCTGCACCACCTGGGTACCTTCCTGGGTACCTAGGTATCTACCTACCCACACACTACTCCCATAGCCTCAGGTTTACAAGATCTACTTAAGCATCCATTCCTCATTCCTTATTTTCCTTTTGAAAAATAGGTCTTGTCGTTATGGAACAGCAATCTGCAGACCAGCACATGAATAACACCACCTCTATGGGGAACAGATTTCACAAATCCCCCATCGACATACTTGATGACCCTCATCGAGTTGCTGTCACTGAAGCGATTGCCAATGTCCTCTCAACGTCCTCTCAACGGACATTGCTGAGATGACTTTCGCCCAGGTCCAAGACGGACTGCCTCTCCCAGACCATCCCATCTTCAAGCACACCGAGCTCAGCCCCAAGAGTCTAGATGAGGTTCGTGCGTTCCGCGAGGGCTTTGATGTCCAGCTTCTACGATTCGACATTCCGCTTCTAAATGCATTTCAAGCTGCCGCACCTGGATCGAGAGTCTTCAAGACCAGGCTCATCGAAACCCTAGCTGTAGCAATACACCAAATAGCTGTAAAGCTCTACAAGAACAATCCTGATCTAGCTCCTGGATCCTCATCTACTGTGCACAAGGTGCATGCCTGGGAACCACCTAAGGACCCAGATAGCTACTGGGACACGTGGTGGGAGTTCCACCCTCATGGACCGCCTCCTACGCTCTTCCATCACGCTTGGTACATCAACCATGATCATTATCCCAACGGCGCTGCGGATGTGGCGGGCTATCGGGCTGAGTCCCGCATTATCGGGGGTGTGGTGCTCTTCGATCGCTCAGGGTCGGACCCGGACGCTGTCTATCTGCACCCCGACCGTGACCAGGTCACGTACAGGATCTCAAAGCTCACAGATGAGCAAAAGACAACCTTGGTGGACTTTCTGACAACAACAACAAAGAGGTCAGTGGACAGGGAGTCGGAAGCAGCCGCCCTGGCCGCAAAGATTGCCCTTTCCCTATCTTGCCGAATGAGACCAATTTGCACCGTGTGGACCCGGAGGAGCCTACAAGCGTAACTTGTGTGTATCGCGATGCATGGGAAAGGGAGATGCCGCCGCCGGGGTGGATGGGAGACGGTAGGGCTTCATGTGTGCGGAATACTATAGATTTCCCAACTAAGGCATCCCAGGGTGAGGCGTTAATGTGATGGCACAGTCGTGGTGATAGACGTTAAAGGTTTGTTCTCCTAAGAAAAGTATTCAATACCCATCTCCAGCCAGCGAGGCCACCACCAGCACCATTCATAAAGCCAAATCAGCCCAGTTGCTTCTAGCGTCACCACCAAAATTTGTTTCGGTCAGACATAAGTCCATTCCTTGGGCATCAGAACTTCACCAGAGGACTTGGTGGTTTACTCTGCATTTCTGATCGACACGAGGGACTTCACGGAATGGAAAGAAATGTCATTTTCTAGGGCCAAAACTCGACGAACGACTGCAGGCTCGGAAGAGGACTGTGCCCAACGTTCCGCCAACACCCCCCCCCCCCGAAGGGGGGGGGGAAAGAACACTCAGTGGGGACCTGCTTGCCCGCAAGCAACCTTATTAAACGACGTCTTAGGATGGAATTCCCATGAGTCCATCCGCGGATCGAGGTACCCGTGGCTTGAGATCAACTTCAGCAATCCGCCCACCTTGTTCCTCCCCCTCCGTACCTGTCCGGTTATAGTACGCACACTATGCACTAGAAGAGATGAATCGAATGCGTGTCTGGTCCCGAGCCGAGGAAGCGCCTTGGAGCTATGCGAACGCAAAGGTGCCCCTTAGGAATGGAAAGCCTGCTTGCCTGAAAAAATGCCAGCGTTCGGAGCAGGAAGATCCAGGCTGCAGGGCAGGTCCTCGTTCTTGTCGAGGGCAGTTCGGGCACTGCGAGGCTGGAAGTCCAGGTTGAGGCTCCGCAACTGGTCATCGACCTTGCTTATCTCGATCTCCTCTGCCCACTTCTCAGTGGCGATGCGGATCTGGCGCCCGAGATCCTGGTGGACGCGCCGGAAGAGAGCTGCAGTTGTCAATATCATTAAATTGCCTTGGTCTGTACATCAGAACATACCGTAGGTCTGCTTGCGGATCTCAGGCAGAGCCTGAGCGAGATGCTCGGCAATGTTGCCTACCAGGTTCTCCTGCTGGCCTGCATCCTTGGGAAGAATGCGCACCCAGAAGTCACGAGGCTGCGCGAAGTCGTCCTCGGTCAACTTACTCTCATGGTCAACAACAGGGCCGCACCAGTTCTCCTCATTGGCAGACGCATATTGAGGGGCGTCCTCGTAGTGCTGATAGGTGGACGGGTAGTAGGACGGAGTGTTCCCAAGGCCATTGTAGTTGCCAGCACCATCGCGATGCAGAGGGTCGAAGCTGTTCTTGGGACGATTGACTGGAAGCTGGTAGAAATTGGGACCAAGACGATAACGCTGGGTATCTTGGTATGCAAATGCTCGGATTTGAAGAACTGCCAAAGTGGTCAGCACGGTGACGCCTTCTATTTACCGAGAGACAAGACGCACTGGGATCACTGGTGAGCGCCCAACCTGGTACGACGTTGGCCGGGCTGAAAGCCGCCTGCTCAACCTCGCCAAAGTTGTCCCCAACGTTCTTGTTCAGAACAATGCGACCGAACGGGCGGTAGGGAAAGTCTTTTGACAGCAGCGTTTTGGTCTGCAACACGTCAATTAATCAGTCACACAGCACCCATAGTCACAGGTCCCAGGAGTTCCTTCAAGGAGGCGCGCCAGTAGTGGTCTTCAAGAGAGGGTTTCAACCTACAGGGTCAAAGATATTGATGGGGTAGCTCTCCACAACATCAGGACTGATGAACTGGCCATAGACGTCCCAAGAGGGGAACGAGCCAGCTTCGATTCCGTTGTGCAAAGACCGCGTCATGTAGTCGGGGTCCTCACCGGCACGTTTCTTGGCCTCGGAGGAAGTGAGGTACTGGCTGCCTTGGTTCGACTTGATGTGGAGCTTCACGTATTGGGATGTGCCATCCTACCAGTGGAATTAGATTAGGCCTTGTACAATAACGGATCAGTTATTTCTTATGTCTTTGTGTTGATGTCTTACTGCCTTTGTAAAACGGTAGGTATTGACCGAGAAAATATCCGCATAATGAAATCCATCAGGGGTAGCCCGGTCACTGAAGAGGAACATTAAGAAATGAATAGCTTCGGGGTTGTTGTTGAAGTAACTAGGAATAGTGTTAGCGAGTACACTCGGGCGGTGTGTACAAGGGCAAGGTACACACTCCCAGAACATCGAGTGATCAGGTAGACCACTTCGCGGGTTCTTCTTCGTAGCGTGGACGAAAGAGGGAAATTTGGCCGGGTCACGAATCGAGAAGACAGGCTTTGGTCATGATTAGCTATACCCGAATACCACCGTCTGAGTGGCCTGGTATTTTACCTGGCTCAAGAAGACCCAATCGAGATTTCCCTGGTCCGTGTAGAGCTTGAAAGCAGATCCCCTCACGTCGCGAACCGTCTCAGGCGAACCCTTCTCACCAGCTGTAGTTGAAAAGCGCGCAAGGAGTGGAGTGCGCTTTCCAACACGGCTCAGAAAGTCGGCAGATGTCAAGTCAGTCATGTCCTGGGTGACCTCGAAATAGCCACTGGCGCCACACCCCCTGGCATGGACGACCCTGTACAAAGTTACCAAAGGCTTCATGCAAATCTGTGAGACAAGGACTTACCTCTCCGGGATGCGCTCACGGTCAAGGGACTGGATCAGCTCAATGAGGTTGAAATCCTGGAGAAGAAGAGTCCCCCGAAGCTGGTTGCCAACTCGCTGGCTGGAGTTGGGATTACGCAGAGCAGAGCCTGTAGGAGAAGTAAGCAGAGTACAGAGTGAGTGCAATGGCCATTCTACCGTTCAGGGTGGTCAAGTAGCCAGGCTCACTGTTGCCACTACGAGCCTCCCCGATGCTACGAGAATTGATACCGGTGAAAGTCATGATGTCGGTGTCTTGATTGTCGTATATGTCGCAGAGAAGCTTTCTTTCCATGCCGCTCAGATTCTTGGATTGGAAGGATCTTCATCATAACCTAGGAGGCTTCAAACAGGCAATGGGAGCCGGGTAACTTGCACCAGGATGGTATGACCCGGCAACCTTTGGATGACTACCCCAGGTTGATTGTGACTCAGGCATCTTTGCGCACGTAGAGAGAAAGTGCTACATCGTTTGACTTCAAACACATTCATCCAAACGCTGACTTAAACAAACAATGGAAGAATAGAACGGCGGCTAGTGTTTGGGCCGATGGCTGTTCTTCCACTGGAAGAACAGATAAGAAGTTCCCGAACCGGTGGTGATATGTGGTAGATTATCGACAATGGCAGGTTATGAACGTCTTCCAGAAAGGATCCAAAGCCAATTCGACACGAATTAAAGTATTACAGGTTCTCGGATTGCACATTTCATTGGCGTTGCTGAGGAACTATCCTCGTAGAAGCACGGGGAAGACCAACATGTGGAAAAACAGTGCGCAAAATCTACTACACTCTATATTCATTTGGAAACATGCCTTGCGAATCTTGTGAGAACTTGTTTAGACCAATAAGCGAGCAAAGGAATTCATCTGGTCTGGGTCACACTTGACAAGGCACAGGAGCCGCAGAGAATCTAGGCGGAATGAGGTCTTGCTTGACAGCAATCGGTCGGTTTATGTGGCATTGCGACAGTACCTAGCATGGAACGAGACGGTCATGACGAAGATGCCACAGTATTTAAAGACCCAGCAGACGGCACCAACTGGCCTGAGCCTCTGAGTAACAAAGCACTCGAGGCATGCTCTCACAAAAGACTGAAGAAGCTCCCGTCAAGCACCATAGGTCTGGTGAGAACTGTTACCGAGTGTGGACGGATTGTGATACATCCTCGAATCAAGGTATAAACACAATAATTTGACCTGGCTCATTTTGTGGCCTTCCGAATCAAGATCGATACAAATTCCCTGAATATACAGACGTGGCCTCCGGACAAAGGCAAAGAAGGGTGCTGCATTTGGGGGCAGGAGGTTGAGCATGGGTGAAGAAGATGACTAAGCTACAAGCGGCTTCCTGCAGGAGCCGCAGTGGGTACCTACCTACCCATGTCAATCCAGCTTTATGTCATCAAGTCTCGCTGCAATCCGATTGCAGCACCCCTGATAAATTGAGTGGGGCAGACGCGGTTCACGTCACATCCTTGAGCTGCCATTGAGACGCGTTCGGGCTCTTTACTTTTAGACGTTGCCTCCTTCGTTTGTGAGTGCTCCACAAACCATCAGAAAGACGCCTGGAAAGCCCAACACGCGCGTTTGGTTCCTGAAGCTTGTCCTCTCCATGTGGAAATAAAACGGTACCTGTCTTCCCCTTTCAACTTCATCTCACGGCCAGCCCGTGTCGACTTGCCGCCCTCGTCATCCACCACCATGCCTGCGGCTACCATGACGTCCAACAAGCGCATCCTGGGCGAGACGTCCAGCGCTCGGAGGAACATACCCGCTACACCAGCAGCTTCAAAAAAACAGAAGACTGATCACTTCTCATCCTCTCCTGCCCCTCGCTTTGCCAGTTCCCAGGCAGCAAAGGTCGCCTCTAGCCAGCCGAAGAGCGCCTTTGAGGCCGAGGTTCTGGAAAAGCTCAGCCAGGACATTTCAGAGCTCAAGCAGAACAACACAGAAAAGGACCAGTCATGGGCGCGACCGCCCATCCCGGAGCACTTCAATCCAAGGAGCTCCAGCCTGTGTTTTCAACAGATCGATGCTGAGGAGGGCACGCTGCATGGTGGCAACCCCACTGTCAAGCTATTCGGCGTGACTGAGGATGGCAACTCGGTAATGCTCCACGTCCAAGACTTCAAGCACTACCTTTTCGTCGCGGCTCCCGTGGGATTCTCCGACAAGGACTGCATCCCATTCCGGGCCTACCTGGAGACCCAGGTCGCCCAGCACCAGCCTGTCATCCACTCCGTGCAGATGCTCATGCGAGAGAATATCTACGGATTCCAAAACAATACTCAGAACCCATTTCTCAAGATCACTGTGACAGATCCCAAGTTCATCAACAGGGTTCGAACGACTATACAATCATGCAACGCCAACTGGAAAGGCCTGTGGAAGTCTGCCGATGGCCAGATCCTCACCTTTGACAACATTCAATACCTCCTGAGGTTCATGGTGGACTGCAAGGTGCGTTGCCAGATGCCTTCCCTTGGCGTTGCTCAGCTGACTTTTCTTAGATATTCGGCATGTCCTGGATAGAAGCCCCCGCCAGCAAATATCAGCTGATTCCCGAGCGTGACCGGCAGTCGAATTGTCAGATCGAGGCAGAATGCAGTTACCTTGACCTGATAGCACACAAGCCAACCGGCGAGTGGTCAAAAATGGCACCACTGAGGATCTTGTCCTTCGATATTGAATGTGCTGGACGTAAGGGCATCTTCCCAGAAGCCAACCAGGACCCCGTCATTCAGATTGCAAATGTCGTCACCAAGTATGGAGAGAAGAAGCCATTCATCCGCAACGTATTCTGTCTGGACACCACCAGCTCTATCGTTGCGACTCAGATCCTTGAGTTCGGAAGAGAAGAAGATATGTTGATGTCATGGAGGAATTTCATCGACAAAGTGGACCCGGACATCATCACTGGCTACAATATTGCCAATTTCGATTTCCCTTATCTTCTCGATCGGGCAAAACACCTCAAAGTCAAGGGTTTCGAGTACTGGTCCCGAATTCCGTCGGTAAAGTCAGTGTCGAAAGAGACAAACTTTTCCAGCAAGCAAATGGGCAACCGTGACACCAAAGCCACAAATACGAATGGTCGGCTACAGCTGGACCTGTTGCAGCTGATTCAGCGTGACCACAATCTGCGAAGCTACACCTTGAATTCCGTGTCATCGCATTTTCTCGGGGAACAGAAGGAAGATGTGCACTACACCATGATCACCGAACTCTTCAACGGCACACCAGAGTCCCGCAGACGTTTGGCACTGTACTGCCTGAAGGATGCGTACCTTCCACAAAGATTGATGGACAAGCTCTCGTGTCTGGAAAACTACACTGAGATGGCAAGAGTAACAGGTGTGCCCTTTAATTTCTTGCTGTCCCGCGGCCAACAGGTCAAATTCATCAGCCAGCTTTTCCGCAAAGCCCTTGAGCAGAAACTGGTGATCCCAGACCTCAAAGGCGAGGGGAGTGAAGACCAGTACGAGGGCGCAACAGTCATTGAGCCGACCCGTGGCTACTACGACGTCCCTATCGCGACTCTGGATTTCGCTTCACTTTACCCCAGTATCATCCAAGCACACAACTTGTGCTACACGACATTGGTCTCGAAGAAAGCGGTTGATGCGTTCAACCTCAAGAAAGACGAGGACTATATTGTCACACCCAACGGAGACCTGTTTGTTACGACGAAACAGAGAAAGGGACTTTTGGCGCAGATTCTTGAGGAATTGCTGACTGCAAGAAAACAAGCCAAGCGAGAGTTGGCGGCCGAGACAGACCCCTTCAAGAAGGCCGTGCTGAACGGTCGCCAGCTGGCCTTGAAGGTCAGCGCAAACTCCGTGTATGGTCTCACGGGTGCAAGCAACGGAAAGCTGCCGTGCTTGGAGATTGCGAGTAGTACCACTAGTTTTGGTCGTCAGATGATCGAGAAGACCAAGAATGAAGTGGAGGCCAAGTACAACATAGCCAATGGCTATTCGCATGACGCACAGGTCATTTACGGTGACACGGATTCTGTGATGGTCAAATTCGGCACTACAGACCTTGCAGAAGCCATGAAGCTCGGTGAAGAGGCATCGCAATACGTCTCGGCCAAGTTCGTCAAGCCGATCAAGCTTGAGTTCGAGAAGGTCTACTTCCCGTACCTCCTAATCAACAAGAAGCGATATGCCGGACTGTATTGGACAAAGCCAGAGAAGTGGGACAAGATGGACACCAAGGGTATCGAGACCGTCAGACGTGACAACTGTCTCCTTGTTCAGACTGTCATCGAGAAGGTGCTTAGAATGATCCTGATCGACCGAGACGTCCCAGGAGCCCAAGAGTGAGTGCCAGCACGATTACATTGATGTCCATATCCCCAGCTGACTTACGCTTGAATAGTTACGTCAAGGACACGATCGCAGACCTGTTGCAGAACAAGGTAGACATGTCCAAGCTCGTCATCACCAAAGCTCTCACGAAGGACGACTATACCGCGAAGCAGGCACACGTTGAGCTGGCACACCGAATGAAGAAGCGAGATGCGGGTTCAGCACCGGGTCTGGGTGATCGAGTGGCCTACGTGATGGTCAAGGGCGCCGCCGGGTCGAAGAACTTTGAGAACTCGGAGGACCCAATCTACGTCCTCGAGCACAACGTGCCCATTGACACAAAATACTACCTGGACAACCAGCTGGCAAAGCCGCTGGGCCGGATTTTTGAGCCTATCCTGGGCGAGACGAAGGCCAAGTCGCTGCTGGCGGGTGCACACACGCGGTCGATCGCAGTGGCAGCACCGACGATCGGTGGGCTGATGAAGTTCGCCAAGAAGACACAGACCTGCATGGGCTGCAAGAAGCCGCTGACAGGCAAGGAGGAGTCCCAGGGCGCGGTCTGCGCCGACGACGCGCCTCGCGTTGGCGAGCTGTACAAGAAGACATTGGACAAGGTGTCGGACCTGGAGGTGCGTTTCGGCCGGCTGTGGACGCAATGCCAGCGTTGCCAGGGAAGCATGCACTGCGAGGTCATCTGCAGCAGCAAGGACTGTCCAATCTTTTACATGCGCATGAAGGCGAAGAAGGACCTGGAGGATGGGAACAAGGAGCTTCAGAGGTTCGACTTCGACCAGGCGGCAATATGGTAGGCGGTCACGATGCTGATGGGCGGCATCCGTTTTGAGCGGGTGGCGGTCGCTTACGAAAGGGTTGGTTTGGCATCTTTATTGTGGAAACGTATATGCATGAACGAAGGGGCAATGATTTTGAGACGGCGTTCTGGAAGGGCCGGGCGCTTCGATGAGGACCAGGCTGGCGTACGGATATGATGTGCGTGACATGCGGATAGGGCAGGGAATAATATACTGATAATTTCTTTCAGTCATGACTATCCATTTCAGCCGCTTTCGCAGGAGGGCAGCGAAGGGGTGATTTCCGAGGGACGGATCGATTTCCGACGTGGAGTTTGTCGGAGCCGACGACCTGTAGGAATGTCATGAACGCGACCCGGGACCCTGCGAGGATGAGGTCGTCCATGCAGAGTAATGAACGGCGCGTGGGTAAAGAGAGGGTGTGGGGGTGTACGGACGCACAGGACATGTACCCCGGATTGAGTGCGGAGGGCGTCAACGCGCAGTACGCGCCTCGTGATTTTGGCCAGCCAGGGCTGGTCAGCCATACAAGCCAGGACTCAAAAGGGCCGATGTGCACACCGACGGAGCAGTTCCGGGTTTTCCCTTTGACCTCAGGTGGTTCGGGAGATGCAGGGAAAATTTTTCGCCTCGGTGCTTCGCCTCGAGCGCAGGCCAGTGTGAACGAGCGGGCCATACATGATGTCGCCTTTTGCAAACGATGCTAGCATCTCCAGTCTTCTCCTGGGAGGGTCGAGCCTCCGTGATCGCTCGCTGCCCCGTGGCCTCGGCGCATGGGAAATGTTAGGGACAGTTTAGACCCTGGAAAGTATGGCGTAAAAGGCTTCAAATTCATCCAGCTAACGGGAACAGCTCGCAGCGGCGAATCACAGGCTGGCGATAAGATCTGGTCAGGGCCTGGGGGCGATCTTTTTTTTTCTTGGCCAGGGTGCGCCACCGCGTGGTATGCAGCATGGGAGATGCAGATCCAGTCTATACTGCATGCATTGTAGTCTGCTGTGGTCTACTATGTACATAGTTTCAACTTGACGGGAGCGTCTGCCGCGAGCCGTGCCTCCTGCCACGGTACTAGGCAGTTAGCTAAGAACACGTCCAAGGCTATGCCTCTCCCGGACGACATACGTGTAGATAAGAAGCTGGCAGAGCTCTCGAGCCGATCAAGGTGACACGGACTCCTTGGAGTCCTTGGAGATGATGACCTCAGTCAGACATTTGGAAGGTCAGATAGACATGTTGGGGCACACCTACCTCCAGTATGCAGGTTATGGATCATCAGTGTCTGGGAAGGCAGGCACGACAAGACTGCCCCACAAAATAATACCGCGGAGCAGGCGCCCACCACCTCAATGCCGCAATCGGCGTGTCTGATCTGTTGCATTGCACATGGTGGAGAGCTTGGGGAGAGAGCTATATCCCTGCACCCTTACGTAGGCCCCACCATGGAATTGGCCGGCCTCCCACGTAACAGGACAGTACGTCTGGCCGCCACCCATACGAGGCTGATGAATATCAAAGATAACGAACACAAATCTTATTAACAAGTGCGCCTAGCCCACCAGTCGAATAGTCCACACGACCAATTGCCCGACTGCGAAGACGGCGGTCCCAGTGCGACCCCCACCGGCAGCAGCTGTGACATGACATCCACGGAAACCAGGACCTGATTGATTGCCTCGTGGTCGGCCAGCTGCGAGATACACTAGATGTCCTAATTCGCTAGCCCCGAGGAGCACCACACACGGCTGGGGAAGCAGTGACCGTTAGATTCAGCTCATAAATTGCCGTACTTGGTCGGTGCTGTGAGGGGCTCCTTCTGTGTATAATAAGACGGCCTGCCTCGACGCTCTCCTCTACTCACACCACTCTCCTTTGGACTCTTGACTTCTGTCTTCCCACGTGAATATCAAGCACAGCCCAGCACGAGCCTCTGCCAGTTCTTAAACTCCCTCCTTCAATAGAGATTATTCTCGTGCTTGCCGTGACACCTCCACTCCTCCTCTTGAGCAACCTTGCGCCTGTCTCCTAACAGCACACACACATACATACCGCCCAACATGTCGAACCTCCCCTCCGAGCCCGAGTTCGAGCAGGCATACAACGAGCTCGCCTCGACCCTGGAGAACAGCACTCTGTTCAAGAAGAACCCCGAGTACCGCACCGCTCTTAAGATCGCCGCCATCCCCGAGCGCGTCATCCAGTTCCGCGTGCAATGGGAGGATGACCAGGGCAACGTCCAGGTCAACCGTGGCTACCGGGTCCAGTTCAACTCGGCCCTCGGCCCCTACAAGGGCGGCCTGCGTCTGCACCCCACCGTCAACCTGTCCATCCTCAAGTTCCTGGGCTTTGAGCAGATCTTCAAGAATGCCCTGACCGGATGTGAGTATTTCTCGATTTCTCATGCTACTTGGCGCTCATCCCGCGCCGACGGGCGTGCAGAACATGTCCGCACAGGCAGTTTGAATCTGGAAGCTAATCTTGGTAACCACAGTGATGATGGGTGGTGGCAAGGGTGGTTCCGACTTCGACCCCAAGGGCAAGTCGGACAGCGAGATCAGGCGGTTCTGCGTCGCCTTCATGCGCGAGCTGCAGAGGCACATTGGTGCTGACACCGACGTGCCTGCTGGTGACATCGGCACTGGCGCCCGCGAGATCGGCTACATGTTTGGAACCTACCGCAAGGAGAAGAACAAGTTCGAGGGCGTCCTGACCGGCAAGGGCCTCAACTGGGGTGGCAGTCTGATCCGACCAGGTATGTCTACTGCTTTATGTTTTGATTCGGCTCATTTGGAAGAAAAAGTTAATGCTGACGAAACCGCCAACAGAGGCCACTGGCTACGGCCTCGTCTACTACGTCGGTCACATGCTTGAGTACGCCGGCGCCGGCGGCTGGGCGGGCAAGCGCGTCGCCGTCTCCGGCTCCGGCAACGTTGCTCAGTACGCGGCACTGAAGTGCATTGAGCTCGGTGCCACTGTCGTCTCGCTGTCCGACTCCAAGGGCTCGCTCGTCGCCGAGAACGGTTTCGCGCCCGCCGAGATCGATGCCATTGCCGGCCTGAAGCTCAAGCACAAGGCCCTGACTGACTTCGTCGCGGCCGCCTCCGACGCCAACAAGTTCAAGTACATCGAGGGCGCCCGCCCGTGGACCCACGTCGGCAAGGTCGACGTCGCCCTGCCTTCGGCGACCCAGAACGAGGTGTCCCAGGAGGAGGCTGATGCCCTGGTCGCCGCTGGCTGCAAGTTCATCGCTGAGGGCTCCAACATGGGCTGCACCCAGGGAGCCATTGACGTCTTCGAGGCCGAGCGGCAGTCAAAGGGCGCCGGCAGCATCTGGTACGCTCCCGGAAAGGCCGCCAACTGCGGCGGTGTTGCCGTCTCGGGCCTGGAGATGGCGCAGAACAGCGCGAGGCTGTCGTGGACCCGCGAGGAGGTCGACCAGAAGCTTGCCGGAATCATGAAGGACGCGTTCGAGAACGGCCTCAACACCGCCAAGGAGTACGTCGAGTCCAAGGAGGGAGAGCTGCCCTCGCTCGTTGCCGGCTCGAACATTGCCGGCTTCGTCAAGGTTGCCGACGCCATGAGGGAGCAGGGCGACTGGTGGTAAACCATTGAGCTCTGTTTTCCTTGATGTGATGATTCTGGGGAGCGAAAAAAAAAAAGTTCCTTCTTCCTTTGTGTTAGTTCATCCCGTGGGCTGGGCTGGAGTATTCGGTTGCCATTTGTTTTCATGGCGGTTTCTCATTGTTAGCGGCGGTGCACAATACCAATTTATGACTTTTGACGACATCTCGTTGGTGCCTTTTGACTTTTTCCCACATGTGTAGATCCAAGCCTATGTCCTGCCCATGAGGACCATGTATTAAGTCCAGGTTGTACAGCATCGTATCGAAAGATATTTGCCCTCCCCCCCCTCTCTGCCCGGGACCACCTCTTCTCTGGTCATGGACCGGCAATAATAGAAATGCAATGCAGAAGGCTAGGTGAACACCGTAAAAATAAGCTTCCTCCGGAGAGGAAACAACGGAACCCAAGGGCTTTCAATCTTTCTCTCACTCAAGTAGGACTGGCGTCGTCTCGGAACGGTAGATCGCCCGCGCCCTACGCCCCGTCTGAACTTGGACCAGAGCGGGAACCTGCTCCCCCAATCAATCCATCAGTCAATCAATCTAATCTAGGCAGATCAGGACCGCGGCCCATCCAGTCTCAACTTTCTCGTCCAAATATGCACACGCGGGTCGCTGGGCAATCTCCCGGCTCCCCCAATCGTGGTCGTCTTGCAGTCGAACATGGGAATATTGGACGCCAATGATGATGATTGATGATCATGGAGATGACAGTTAAGCGGGTGAATGTAAAGGGACGAGCACTCTACCTCCCTCCCTCTCAACCTGTTTCTTTCTGCCTCAAGTCCGACGATCTGGGTAGCGTCCCCGCAGGCACATGTCCCCGCAGGGCTACCGGCATAACGAAGAACGCCCATCAAAAATGTCCGCGCAGGCAAATTGACACAGGAAGAAAACATTCTCCCGATTATTCCGGTCGCAGAATTTCTCGAGAATTCCCCGAGCTCATCGGGGTGACAAGGGCTGGCTAGATGGCCCCCTACCAAGGAACCTGAAGGGGCGCTGGGCCCCCCTCTCAGGTGTTTGATCGACCCCGGACTTCTGCTCGTTTGAGGTGTGACGGGCTTGGCACGCTCGACCTGCATCATCGACGGCACTGGCTGCCATGTTTCGGTACGGATTGACTCAGGTCCGTCTGCCTGAGCAGGTGGGTAGTAATGCGCTGAGAAACAGTCGTGCATGCTAAGCTGGGAAGTGTGTCTTCCGAGTTCCTCCAAGGTTTGGGCGTCCTAAGCATTGGCTAGGTGTTTGCTGGGCAAATTTTACGAGAGCTTCCTAGTCTACCACTGTTGTTAGCCATACTTCCTCACGGGCACTAGAGGATTGGTAGGCGAAGACAAAGGTTATTGGAACAATGTATAGTTTATTTTGAAGATCAGCTAGCTACTGTAGAGATCACGATCAGGGTATCTTTAGAAGTTATCCCACCCCTTACCACCCACGACCAGCTAGAGAAAACGAAGCGGACGAGGACAGAACCCCAAACCCCAGGGGAATATATATATAATGGTATAAACAGGCTACCTGCCAACTAGCATCCACTCAGATGTGTGAACACATGATAGGCGGGATATTAGAGGTGGACGTTGTAGGTTGTCCGCCCAATAATAAGAGAAACGAATAGAAATAAAACTTGGGGCTGGGGGTCTGTCCGTCCTCTTATCGTCCATGCTCGGCCTCCTGTCAACACCATCTCCCTGGCGAAAAAGGAAAAAAAAAAAGAGAAAAGGGAGCTCCGTGATCGTGTCCCTGTCTTACGACAGTACCATGACCATGGGACCAGCGGTGATGATGTCGTCAGAGATCTTGGCGGTTGCTGGCATCGAGTTGACGAGGTTGAGGTAGACAACACCAGACAGGCCCTGAGGAGTAGCACAGGCACCGTTGGCGAACTGGGTGAACATGGTGCCGGTGGGCAGGTCGCCGGAGGAGAAGGCACATGCCATGGCACCGGTTGCGCCGGCGCTCTGGAGCTGCAGCTGCTGGGGGCTGGCTGTGGCGATCTGAGCGGTAACCTCGGGGTTGGTCATGGTAATGTTGGGGAAGGCTGTCAGGGCCAGGTTGCTCCCCTGGGGGCAGCTGGCGATGAAGGGAGCTGCCAGAGAGAAGACCTGCTTCGGCGACAGAGGGGTGTCGAAGGAGTTCGGCGAGGCAGCGACCTTGGTGGCGACACGGGTGAAGGTCTGGTGGCGGGCCTCGATCGAGTAGATGGATGCGGCCGTGCCCAGGATACTGGGGTCCTGAACCAAAGGTGCAGCGCCGAGGTAGGCGGAGACACCAACCTGCTCGAGGGTGACGGCGGTCTGGAGCATGGCGGTGGCGGAAGAGAACGACTGGCCGAAGTTGTATTGGCAAGGCTGCACTGGCTGGACGCCCTTCTGGGCGAGGGCACCCTGCAGGAGCTGAACGTGCGTCTCCTCCTCCTTGCCCTGCTGGGCGAGATCCTGGACCTGAAGCTGGGTGAGGCCGAGATCAAGGAATTGCTGCTGGGGCACCTGGGCGAGGCCTTGCTGGTAGAAGGTAGTCTCGAGCCACTCCAGGGTCAAGGCACTGGATGAGACGGTCAGCAAGGATATTCTTTACATGATAGTTATATGGCTTCCTCGTGGCAACTTACAACTGCAAGATATCGGGATCGGTGATACCGGCAGCCTGGCCGGCAGCCTGCTGGCGCCTCATGGCCTGGTGGATCTTGAGCTGGCGCTCCGATAGTCTGGGAGCGGCGGGCATGGCGGTGGCAACGGCAGCCAGGGTAGCCACGAGGGCGGACTTGAGTGATATACCAGCCATTTCCGGATAATTAAATCGATGCTTTTTTGTTTCCTAGTTACTCTCGTGTGGAATCCTTGTTGATCGAGCCGGCGAGTCGTGAAGATTGTACAAAGCGGCCTGCCGTTGATTAAGGTGGTGTGTGTGTATTAATGAAAGTCTAGCATGGACTGACGGAAGACAGGCGAAGGAAGGGATGCGAGAGCTCGATGACCTCACAAGAAAGCAGACCAGTGCTTTGTATTTGAATCCTGTTCGTCGAAGGGGAAACAAGCTGCACACGGATGAAGAGATGGATGAGAATGCTGGAGGGACGAGGAGGGACGAGGAGGGGGTAATAAGAAGAAACGGCGTCGTGCTGTGATGGCAGTGATCAAACATGCTGGAGGCGGACTGCCAAGCCACGGATGTGTTCGAAGACACTCGGGCTCGTCTGCACGGAAGGCCAAGTAGCCGTGGCCGGGCTGGTGGTGTCCCTGCTGCTACATGCTACATGAGAGACATGGGAGACCCCACGGGTAGTCGAGCACCGCGCAGTGTAGCCAGGGGCCACCCCAGCCGGGAGGAGATGCAGAGGATCAGATGGCAGCTGGTGGACTCAGACAGTGCCTAGGTACCCTACCTAGGTACAGAGAGGCAATCTGTGCAGGACTACAGGGCACAATGCAGGGCAGGACTGCAGGAGAAGCTTGGGTGCGCAGGGGCCAGAAACCGGAGGTAGGTGGGCGTTTCGTTTGCCAATCCTCCTGTAAGAAGCAAGAAGGCAGCCGCAACCCACGGGTCGTCGTCGAAGAAGCCGCCGCCCAGGTCGTCGGAAGGAGCAGGTGAGGTCAGCTCCAGCCAATCAGAGGCAGGCGGGAGCTCGTTGCGATGGGGACTGGACGGGATTTGCAGGGGCAGGGAGGTGCCTGGAGCCCTGCCACATATCGCCTCGGTACCTAGGTAGTCTGTATGTAGTCCACCCCAGAAACTCGCAGGGGAGCTCTGCCGTGCAGGAGGGCCGGCGGGGCAGGGGTGTGGGTGTGAACAGGCACAGGGGTTGGGGTTGCATTGTCAGGGTCGTAACTTCATCCTGTCTCATCTGTGTTTGAATCGACGGGCTAGACACTCCCGGACACAAACCACCTACGCCTATGCAGTGGCCACCCTACCGTGTACCCTCCCGGCCGTTGTGCCGTGTAAGCTACATGCTGCAGCCGCGTCCCGGGACCCACGCAACCTTATCTCAACACCCAAAAGTAAAGCTTCTTCTCGTCCTGTCTTTCGCCGTGGCCCCCGGCCCACAGCACGAGCACGGATCCGCCGAGCCGGTTGGAAAATCAGTCCTACAGAGAGTCAAGACCTCCACCGCTGAGACGGGAGAGGATGATGTGCTCACGGATGCCGCCCCGGCGATCATGGGCAATTCATGCCCTTCGGACGACCTGGCAAGCACACACGCCTGCACAGCTGCACATCTGCATGGCACATCTGCATGGCACATCTGCATGGCACATCTGCATGGCACATCTGCATGGCTTGCTTACCTGTCCTGCCCCGGCCCGGACAACTTCCTGAGCAGTGACCACCCGGACTTGCACTTCCGCAACCACATCCGCACCCGTGCATGCAATCGTAAACGCTCGGTACCGTCCCCCCGTCGCCGGACGGAGATTGGTGCTCCTGGGCTGCTCCTGGGCGTCACTTGGCAAAGACACCCTTCCTCTGTCTGCGTTTCTCTTTCTGCTAAGCACCCAAGCGTGTGATGGTCCAGCAGTAGCCACAGGAGAGTCTGCCAGAGTCTGTACGGGAGTCGATCCATGAGTCTCCATGTCATCCTGCCATGACGCCTTGACGCCTTGGAAGGTTCGCAAGACATCGACTGACATGGCTTGGTAATCGCCCTCGCCTCGTTTCTCCTTCGTCCGGTCTTCTGCTTGATCTCGTCCATGATGAAATAATGGGAGGCCACGGCCGCTTCGGCCTCGGCAACTCGTCGTTTCGATTCATTGGACGAGCATATTTTCTCGGAGCCTCGACCCACCTGAAGCCGGCCTCCCGCCACTGCAGCAGCCTTGGTGGGCTTCGTCCCAAAAGCTGGCGGTTACGATTGGCTCGAACCAACCTCGGATCTTTCCCAGGGCTGTTGATTACCATTTCGGGCCATCTGCTGGGCCCCAAAGATCGGCTGAAATATCCCGTGTTTCCTCGACTTCCTTCCGTCCAAGCCGCCTCCATCTGTGGCTCCTCCCCAGCGTCACCCAAGTCTCATTATTTTCCGGCCTCAAACCGGGCTTAACGCACCCCTTCCTACACGTCACAAGGATCCCAAGTGTCCACAGGTAACTCGCCTACTAACCCCCCGATGAAATAATCTCCTGGGGAAAAGGGCATGGCCTCTCTGGGATAAATGTATTAAACGAGTCGTGGTCCTCTACTCAGGTACCCAGGTAGGGTTGGTCACCATATGACAAGCAGCAACCCAACCGTTGCAGTTCACCAGACACGGATGTCCGGTGTTCCCTCCAGGTTAGCGTCACGACTTTCCTATTTCAGCCGTTTTCTGCTTCGGATGGAAGCGGTGCCCGAGCCTGACGCACTCACCGACTCTCAGTAGACGACGAGTGGCAAGGGGACGATGTGTATGTCATCACCCGAGAATGTAAAACAGTGTTTCGCAACCGTCAGGAAACGTCCTATTCAGTGTTCGGGCAAAACGTCGTCGGAGGCTACCGTGCCGTATAGACTGAGAATTTGCTGACTTGCTCATGCAGTGGTCCTCCAGGAGCCCGTGGGACCCCTTCCGCAGCAACGTCACGGGTCTCACAAGTATGTTCGTTGCTTTCGATTCCTTTCCTTCTTAATATCTTCTAGGAGTGGCGATTTGTATCGCAGTGTGCAAGGCCTGGCCTTTCACAAAGCAGTGTCATGCTTCTCATTCCAGTTCAAACCCGAAGCCAATCAGTAGCCTCGTTGACCTCGCCCAGCTGGCCCTTTCCTTTCTCAAAGCTCCTGTTCAGCAATCGCCTCAAGCTAAGACTGCCTCGATAGCTCCGAATGGCGTCCCGGGCGCCCTATAGAAGTCCACCGCTTTCAGACCGGCCTGGGCCAGCAGCTCCTCCCACTGCTTCTCCGTCCGCTCCATGCCCGTGAAAGTCATCATCAGCATGTCCACCAGAGCGCTCTCGCCGCTGACGCCCCGGGTCGGCAAGATCTGCTCTGCTACTACCAGCCGACTTGGTAACTCGCGGTCCATGGCGTCTGCGACGCGCCTGAGGATAGTCACGCTGCTGGGGTCCGCCCAGTCGTGCAGAATACGTCGCAGGAAGTATATTGGGGCGCCTGGATGAACGCGAGAGAGTGTTAATGACTTTGTGCGCTTGAGACTTGGCGGTAGGTCGGGACATAGCAGTCCGAACTGCTGTAACCGAACTAACCTTTCACGGGCTGCTCCTTGAAGAAGTCATGTGCCATGGCTACAATGCCCTCTGACGGTGTGACTTCTTCTATCACCTCCGAGAGGTCTTGCAGAACAATCGTTCCGTTGATATCCTTGGTTCTGTCAGTTCACAAACTGACATTGGAAATACCAAAGCATCCCGGTGGGGGCATGGATGGATCAGTACGGTCCTGGTCCATGGCCAGTTTCTAGAGCCATGATGTGTCGAGGAGCGTATCCGGAGACCAAGATGATCCACAGACAGAGTTGTGAAGACACCGCCTAGATGGGGCTCACGTTCACAACACCGTGAAAGGAATAGATGGAAGCTGACTGACCTTACACAGCTCGCGGATCTTGGCGCTTGTGTGGCCCGCACCACCACCGATATCGACTACCAAGGGTGTCGATACGTCCGTATCCTTTTCTAGCTCCTTGATCTTCTCAGCGAAGGGGAACAACCCCACAGACCACTCTCCATCGAACGACTGAGCCTTCATGGCGCGGTTGGAGTTCTTTTGTCTCTCAGGAAACTTGGCGATGTGAGACCACATCTCGCTGCCCTCGGTCCTGTGGGCAAAGGTGTACTGCACCATGTCGAATTAGCACTTGCGATCTTCGGAGATGTCGGGGACGGTGAGATTTTGCGGGAGCGCTGATAGACACTATCACTGCTGTGGCATCACTCACGGGACAGTTCGTTGGTTCTGTGGGCTGCTTCCACCCATTCTCGATGAAGAATTGCGGCATCAGGGTGATGGCAGGACTAGACTCGTCGATGATGTGCTTAAACGTGGCCGCCAGGTCCGGATGCGTCATCAGACCCGAGACGGCCGTCTGGGCATACGTCTCCTCGCCCACTTCGACCAACGGGCCGTCAGTGGCGGTGACGCGGATCAGGCGCACGAGGAGCGCCTTTTCGACGTCGACCTCGATCCGGGACAGGATCTCGTCCACCGTGGCGGGCTCGCCGCTGGCGGGGAGCGCTGCGAACACTCCCATCTCGAGGAGACAACGGAGGGCCGTGATCTTGGATAGGGAGCCGAAGAGGTCGAACATCGCGCCGAAGGGCCCCTGGACCTCGACCAGGAGCTTCTTGATCTCGCTCACCAGCTCCGCCTGCGACGAGGCGGTGTCTGCTGGCGAGCCGCTGCTGGCCAGTGCCTTAGTTGAGATGTCGGCGTACGCCTCGGCCGCTGTGCTGACGCGGGTGACGGCCTCCTGGATGGACGTAGCGCGCTTGGCGACGGACTCTGGCGTGACTGGTAGACCTGCCATGGTGTAAGACGTGATCGTGGTGAGAATAAACGAGTATTGAGAATAATAGCACAAGGCCTTGGCTGATCATATCCCAAGGCTCATCTTCTACGAGGCGCGAGACGTGCCTATTTATACTGAGCCGTTGTATGCCCAACACGGAGCTAGAAGAGCAGGTTGAATCCTGCTCGGTGACGAGATTAGCGTGACTGCATTCCTCACCATCAAATCATTCAAACACCCTCAGAGCCATGATATTGTCCATAGTACGGTGCTGATTCCTCAGTAACGCGGCCCAGAGGGAGGCGTGCGTAGTGTAGGCAAGCCACAAGCCCGACCCCGACCCCGATCCGGACCCGAGATTCGCGTCCGGACTCAGCAGGTGTAAGCAGGTAAGCCACCAACTAACCACCGGCGTGGGACCGAAGGATTGTAGCCTAGCGTCACCCATCTCCTTGCTTCTTGGATTAGCAGCTGATGGATCGATCAACTTCGCCGTGCAGCCAGCGGAGCAGTCTGTTGGCCCGACTTTGGCACATCTGATAGCTCCTGTCATTGCCGGATCTGAGCTGGATATAGGGAGGGATAAGCTATGCCAGCAGGATGTGCACGTCGCTTTGAAAATAAGCCAACCCATACGCTTTGACAGATCGGGTGCCTCGTCACACAATCACAATGTGTGCATTTGCGGTCTTGATATGACTGAAGCTGTCTTGTTTTCCTACCGAGAGTTTTCTAGCATCGGCCGACTATCTAATGTCTCTCATGGCTTCTACAGTCAACCTCGTACACTCCAATCAACTAAGATAGTAAAATACCATACCGCTCTGTGCTTTAGACTCCAGTTATATTATGCTCTTTGCGTCACGTTCACTTTGTTAGCAACTTGAACCTGGCTTCACCTTTTCGCTGGACCCAGTGACTGCGGCCTTTCCTAATTCTGTTCAATCCCAAAGCTCCACATTCCCACCCCCAATCTCTCAGCAATCCTCCTAGCACTCATGGGCATTATAGCCGTTGAATGGTTCCTCCGAACTCAAATTTTCCAAGCAATGATCCACGGGTTCACCTTACAAGGCGTAAGGGTTGAGAGAGCGGATGGTCAGGCATCTGTGTAGTTTGAGATTAGCTCATGAGCAAAGGCAGCTTCATACTTCAGAAAGATAAGTAACTCACGGTGGGCTCTTGCTGAGGTCTGTCTTCAAAATGATGGGGACCCGAGTCATTTCCGTCACATCCTGGATGTACTCGCCTCCTTCCTCTCGCAACTTGAAGAGGTTGAGGTACTTCTCCTTGTTGGTCAGGCGGTTCTCAGGAGCCTCCACGGTTGGTACCTTCGAGTCCGACTTGGTGCGGTGCAGGGTGCCCGCGGTGGACGAGCGGGTGGGTGACCCAGGGACGCTCTGAGTGGGACGCTCTGCCAGTGACGCACCTGCCATGGCCTCCGTGATATCCGACGCGTTGTCGTCATCGTCGTCGAAGAGTGCGTCCACGTCGTTGGTCGAGATGGTGTTTGTCTCGGTCTGCTTGCGAGCTGCCTCTTCGCGTTCCTTTCTCGCCCGCTCGGCCTCCTCGGCCTGTTTGGCAGCGGCCATCGCGTTGGACATCCGGACCGAGGCAGCCGCCTTGGGTCGTTCATCCTCGGGCACGTAAGCAGAGCTAGGCACACCCTTCTCCCAGTAGAGCTCCAGGACCCTCTTTTCCTTCCTGAACTCAGCCTTCTTGAGAGGCAGCTGGTCACAGTGCACTCGCTTCTCGAAGCCCCATTCGGGAATGAGAACGTCGAATGCGGATTCGTACACACAAAGTACGATACCTTCGCTAATGAGGTCGCCATTAACTTCCTGTCGCTTCTTGTCCATGGTACGGCAGGACTCGATGTGAATGCTTTGCTCTTGAGCGTTCTGAGCAGAGTCTTTCTTTGTGTTGCAGCTCTCGATGGTCTTCACAAGGTTCTCCAGATCCTCGCTATACTCGATGCTGCCCTCGGACAGCACGGCCTCGAGCTGCCGATGGACCAGAATGTCGGCATAGCGGCGGGTAGGGCTCGTGAAGTGAGTGTAGAGCGGAAGGTTCAGAGCATAGTGGGGCCACAGCTGCTTAGCGGTCTTGCCAGCGATGAAGTACTTGGCACGCTGCATGGATTTGAGCAGTAGAGTTTCCATGCCCTTCCTCACATCGCTGTCATCAACCTTAAAGAGGCTGTTTTGCAGAGCACCACTGCTCAAGCTATCAAACTCATAACCCAGGGCCGTCATGCGGTCAACAAACGTCTGGAGTCTGCGAGGGTTTGGAGCACCTTGTCTGCGGAGCAGTGCTTTTTCAGGAAGGCCTTCAGCAAGACGTTGCGCAACGTACGCATTCGCCTTGTGCATGAGCTCTTCCACCAGCTCCATGGCCGGCGACGATTCAAAAATGTTGTCCTTGATAGGGATATTCTCATCGTCAACCTGGTGGAGCAAGCGAAGAGGTGCGATGGGCTCACCGCCAGCACCCAGGCGGGACTCTTGGAATTTCTGGGCAACACCCTACTGTCTGTTAGCGGCTTGCGACAAACGTTGTACTTCTGAGGCTACTTACGTAGAGGATTTGCATCTCCCTGAGTTCAACGGCAGGGTGGCTGAACTCGGTCTCTCCCGAGAGGGCCTTGTCGATTTCAGAAAGAGCGACTCTGCCGGTAGCCTTGATGATACTCTTGCCAATCCAAGTATCGCCTTCGGCTACCGCGCCCGTGTGTGGATTGACAGAAAATACAACACTGACAGCCAAGCGCTCCTCGCCGGGCGTCAGCGAGCAGAGCTCGGAGAACAGCTTGGGCGGGAGCATCGCGCATGTCCTGTTGACCAGGTGCACGGCCGTGCCTCTCTTCTTAGCCTCACGGTCCACGAGTGAGTTTGGCTTAACGAAATGAGTGACGTCGGGAACGTGAATGCCAATCTCGATCTTTCCATCAGGGAGAGTCTTGACGTGGACGGCGTTGCTGAGTTCAGCGGATCCGTCCATGTCCAAAGTGAATGTCTTGTCGTCGCGGAAGTCGCGGCGTGCTGCAATGGCAGCCTCGTCTTCTTTAGCGAGCGACCAGTCCTGAAGGCCAACACTGCGAAGGACTGCCTCCGAGAATTCATCCGAGGCGAAGTTGTTGTCGCGCAGGAGCGCGTCTGTCTCAACCTTTAGGTCACCCATCTTGCCAAGCTGCTCGACGAGGGTGCCGAATGGATGCAGGGAAGTAATGGGCCAACGCTTGATGCACGCAACGAAAATGCGGTCAGCATAGTCCTGGTGCTTCTCAACGAAGTCTCGCGGGGCTTGTTCTGTCGGGATAGCAATGAGAGGTACTCGCTTGTCCGTCGGTTTGAACCAGACGATCTTGGGCTTCTCCTGCTGACGGTTGTCCTGGTGGCGGCTGCCATCCCTGGCAGCTCGTTCAGCCTCTTGCTTCTCCTTTGTGGCCTGACTGCTAGGGCGGAGCAGGCCGAGGTTGCCCGAGAACATCTGTCCAGCGACACGCTCAATGACTGCAACAATGTGTCCAGCATACAGCGGCTTCTGCTCGTCGTTGATCTCCTCTTCCTCGACGAGGAGCAGACTCTGGCCTTCGACCTCAACATCGTCGTTTTTCTTTTGTGTGGGACGCTGCCTCAAGCTGCCGCGTCTCCTGATACCACCGTCGTTGGCGTTGTTATCATCGCCATTCTGATTGCTCTGGCCACCACCATTTGTGGAGCCTGATCGAGTATCAGTGATATCCTTGCGCTTCTTCTTCTCCTCCTTCTCGCGCTTCTGCGACCACACCTCATCAACATCGAGCAGCTCAACCGCAACCAGATCGCCTTCAAGTGCACGGTTGCGATCTTTGCTGCCGCAAATGAAGATATCGGCATCGAGAAGGCCGTCCTGAGTGGACACGTAAGCATCGCTACGGTTCTTCTTGTTAACGCGCAGGACGCCGGAAACCAGCTGACCCTCTCCTAACAGAGCGGGAAGCGTGGCTTGCGGGAGGTAAGGAGTAAAGAGTGTCTTCCTCTGTTGCTGTTGGGGCTGTTGAGAGAGTTGAGGCGCATGTTGGCTACCCTGCAAGCCAACAAAGTTCTGCCCGCTCATCTGAGCGGCTTGGAGTGCCTGAAGCTGACCCAGCTGAAGGGCGTTAAGCTGTTGTCCGGGATACATCTGAGGCATCATCATCTGACCAGGCACCTGCATCAGCTGGGGCTGACCGGGATACTGGAAGGCGCCGATGTTGTTCACAGATTGACTGATGGAGCCACGGGACCGGTGGCCAGGCTGGAAATTGCCCTGGTTCTGGCCAGCCTGGTCTTGGTTCTGAGCCTGTGGGGTGCGCCAATTCGAATCAAAGTTCCGGGAAGACGACCGGTTGTGGGCGGATCCACGACGCCCGAAATCGTTGTTCTGGCCAGCATCGGAAGCAGCTTGGGAGCCTCCGCGGGCAGTGGCGCCTCCGCGACCGTTGGCGCCTGCGGCCATACTCTGGCTCCTGCCGTGGCCACCGCCACGCCCGCCTCTGGACGGGGCGGGCTGGAAAGGCTGGGCATCGGCAGAACCCTGCGTTGCGGGCTTTGCTTCATCCTCGGGAGCGGGTGCTGCGGGGAAGGAGAAGCTGGAGGTTGTGCGCTTCTGCTGAGCGAGCTCAGCAGCTTTCTTCGCGTCGGCGAGAGCCAAGGAGTGCCGCCTCTGGTGACCACTGGGGGCGGCGCCGGCTCCGCCTCCACGGCCTCCACGTGAAGCACCGGCGTTTTCCCGACCTTGTGGTTGCTGTGGCAGTTCAAAGTTACCGAAGGCAGATCCCGAAGCTCCTGACGAAGGAGCAGGCGGTGGGCCCATGCTCATGTTGGGCAGAGCCGACTGATTACGGCGATGTGACAAGGGTTGAGTAGGGGTACCCATCGACATGTTCTGCTGCGGTAGCTGGTTGGGAAACTGGAAGCCGGCTTGGGGCGACATGTTAGGCATGCCTTGGACTGGGTTGAACCCAGGTATGGCCTGGCCCGGTGGCATCATGCCCATGTTGAGGTATTGTTGCTGGGCTTGGATCTGCTGGTGTTGCTGCTGCAGCAGCTCTATCTGCTGCTGGATAGCCATTTGCTCCACTAACAAGAGAGCCAGGTGTCAGTGCTTGTTGCAGTACATACGTCATGACCATAAAGAACAAATAGAGCGCAGTATTCTCGGCGCGAACACGTTTCGGTTCGGCTTTCGAAATGCTTGGCACCAAGGCAACGGGGCCGGGAGACTTACTTCCAGGGTTGCCGGTGAACATGCTCACCAACGGGGTCATCTCAGAGGGACTCCGGCGATGGGCAATGTGGAGTCTCCGACCGGTCGGGCCAGAGACGCCGGTTGGGGGCTGTTGTTGCTGCTGCTGCTGCCCCTCCATGGTGAGCTAGCTTGACACCAGAACAGAACAGGCCGGAAGAGGCTGATGACGTGGTGTGCAAAGCTGCGGCGGGAGTGGATGCCAATGCAGACGCGCGGCTGTGGTGGTGGAGGAGCTTGTGTGTGAGGGCGTGAGCGTGGGTCTGTGTCTGTGTCTGTCGACTTGACTTGTTGCACGACACGGGGGCAGGGGACGGAAAGACAGTGGTGCTTGTCTGGTCGTGTGGGATTGGCCGTGGGCGTTGGTGGGATAGGTATTGCGTAGTTTCGAGAACGGAGCTCAAAAGGAAGGTCAATGAAAGGACGAGAATGAAGTATCTGTGCAAGGAGTGTGTCGATGGGATGGATGTCACAGCTCCGCCTCCAGCAGTTGACAGGATGGCAAGCAGCTGGTGATGGAAGGGGTTCGGCGACGTTGGAGTTGGTGAGAGAGAGAGGTCGATGGTGGTCGATGTCCAGGTGTGGAAGAGGAGAAGTCCCCGAGGCAGCTGGAGCCCAAGACCGGACTGGACTGGTGGGCAGGGCGAGTCAACCTGGGAAGGTGTCTGTCAGTTCAGTCTACTGCCAGTTAGCACCCGATTTAGTGCGAGGAAGCTACCTAGGTAGGAAAATACCTGGGCCAGCAGCAGGTATCCAGGTACCTACCCGGCAGACCAGGTAGCAGACAGCACCGGGCAAGCAGTGCCCAGAGCCCCAGGGCCCCAGAGCAGTGACAGAGCGCCCAGGCCCAGGACTGCCCAGGTGCGGTGCCAGGTGCTGTGTCGGCTACGAGGACTCCACTATTGAAACGGGGCCAGATCATTGGTTACAGGGGTGGTTTGACGTCCGCCTCTCCCAGCCGAAACTGGGGTGGGATGCGGACAGCGTCCGCAAGCTCTCTCCAGATCTACAGCGCTCCAGCTGCTAGTCTGCTCGCTCACTCCATTCCCCCCTCCTGGAAACAGGTTGTCCGTACGAGGGCGATCACGGCGGTCTGCCCATGTACGTGGCTTCGTGGGCATGTATGCCAGGTATCGCAGTGGCTTCCGTGGCCGAAGATACCTGTCAAGCTGGTGCTGGTGACGACGGCCGGCCAGACAAACCGGCCGAGATAGCGATGACATGGTATGTGCGTCGAGGTGGTGCCTCGACCATGGGCAAGCTCTGTCCCTCCTCCTCCTCCTCCTCCTCCTCGTATGTGGGATCTTGCTTGAGTGGGGTCCTCCGTAACCCCGTCGAGCTTGTGCCACCATTGCTGGGGCATTACTGGTCAGTCAGCACCTTGTCTCTCGTCACCTCAGCATTTTTAGCACAGTATCTCGAGCACCCCCAAGCTGGAAGGCGTCCCCCCACTGTTGATTGGCCTCCACAACGTCCTACATGCGTGATGATCGCCGCAAAGCCTGCGAGAAGGATTGCGCAGTCGATCCATTGCCACGACTCGTAAAACACGCTCCTCCAGCCAGGCCACCTCATCCATTGAGGACATCTGTTTCGAGCGATTCGAGACGGTCAAGGCTGCTGCTTCAAGGAGTGCTTACCTGTGACAGCCAGCCAAACAGGCGGGAGAAAAGGGGCATGGCGCGCGGGCCGTCTTTTCACTCGGGTCGGCTCCACCACTGTGAATACAAAACGTCCATTTGCGGACGACAAGCCAGGGACAAGCCTAGGCCCACGGCCCAAGGTCTGTGTGAGCTGCTCTATCCGAGGTCCAAGAGGCTTCACAAGCGACCCTCCCTCACTCGCAATTGAGACCAGGCGCAACCTCCTCGTAGAAGCACAATGGGAACAGCCGTCATAATCTAACACAGGGCCAGCTGCCAACTGCCATTCTGAACCCAAGACTCGGGCGTGGGTGTCACCACCCTCACCGTCGTCGCAACGTGTAGCAGGCACATCCTGGGCGCGGGCAGTCACCCGGTAGATACTGTCGTATTGTACCACTAGTAGCCGCGTGTGTTGTCCGCAAGACAATGGCAACAGACCAAGACCAAGACGATCGTGAATAGACCGCCCGCCGTAGTGGGGCGCGGGCGGTCGCGCTTTCTGCCCGCAGAATCGGCAGAGCTTAGACCCACCTCTGCCACTTACATGCATACGTGCATGCATTGTCGTACAAGGAACTTGCCTGGCCCTGACTTGCGCATGCTACCTTCCCTTGATCGAGTTTCCTCAACCCGTCGCGTCAAATCAACCCTCGCAAAGTCCCAGGCTCGATTTGTTTTGGCCCTGACGAGGAGACTCCAGCCTGCGGAAACACTGCGACAGCAACAACGACCGCATCTTGTCGCCTCCCTCGTCATGCAGTCAAGATGACAACCCCGTCGCCCGCGACTCGAACGTCGCGATATCCGCGCGCCAATCCGCCCACCCCGAGCCCTGCCAGCTCGTCGGTGGCAGACTTCCTCAGCCCCGACCGCAACTCCGAGACCAACCATAAAGATGCCCTTGCCGCCGCCGCCGCAGAACATGACAGAATTCGCGCAAAAGCGTGAGTACAGGAAAACCTCGCCCTTGCCTTGTCGCAAACCTTACTGTTGGCGTGACGTTTGCTAACACGGGTCTCTGCAAGGATTCACACCCTCTACGTCCACGAGCAGAACTTGCAGAGGGAGCTGTTGCTCGAGCAAGCACGACAACAGCGGGAACGAGCCAGGGTCGAAGAAGCGAATGCTCTAGCAGCACAAGAGAAGATCAAGGCCGAGGAAGAGCGTTTGCGCGCTGAGAAGGCCGCGCGCGAGGAGCAGGAACGGCTTCGAGAGATTGCGGCCAAGAAGATACCACAGCTGCCCCCTCTGCCTACACCCAAACCTGAGCAGCAGCCTACCGCTCTTCAATCTCAACCTCAAGCCCCTCCGGCTCCGGCAGCGAAAGCGAATCCAGAACCGCCCGCCCAGCCTAGACCTCAACCTTTCTCACAACCAAAGCCCCCAACCGCTGCGGCCGTCAATGGCAGTGCGACACTCAAACCACCTGTTTCCAATGCTCCCGCCGCCCCGACTCCCAGTGCCCCATCTGCGCCCGTGCCTCACGATGCAAAGCGGCAGCGCGCCGTCGAAATTCACAAAAGTCTCAAGCAACTCCGTGCAGCCATCGCGTCGCAGTCGTTACAGAACAAGCCCTTGAAATCCAGGGCTGGAGACCTTCGTAGAGAACTTCGGAAGGTCATTGGCCAATTGTCTCTCGACAAGGATGGCAATAGAGTGGTCGTGAGTGTATGTCCCATTTCTTCTGTGAAGGTTGTCTAACGCAGTGTGCAGATGCAAAAGGTCACCAAGATCCTGAAAGAGGCGTTGGCAAACGAAGTCGGCAGCCAGATGGTCGATCCCAGCCTCGTAGTGTTTACGCCTCGACAGCCTGTTGAGGGTGCTATGCACAATGCTGAGCTGCCATCGCTGTTCTTGTTCCTCCTCAACCACCTCGCCAAAGCAATCATCAACCAGTTCATCAACGAAGCTGCGTCGAATACAAAGACCGCCGATCCAGTGGGGGTTTGCGCCGCCGCCGTCTTCTCAGATCCAACCTTTCAATGGCGAGGGCAACCGCTCATTGACATACTCATTGCAAAGTTCCATGTCATCTGTCCAGTGCTATTTGGCGCTAGAGGGTCTGAGAAGACAGACCAGGGTAGAGATCTTGTGGGATGGAAGCGCAGGGGGACCGCCTGGGTCCCTGAAGCCGAGCACATGGACAGGATGACGGGGCTTGCCGCGGGTTATGCAGCAATTGCCCTGAGAGATTTCTCCAAAGCGAAGAAAGAGAATCCGTACCCCATGCCGCACTATTGGGAGTCGATGGCCAAGATAGTCAACACGCCGCCCCAACAGATGTCAGTCACGCAGTGCGTTGTTTTGAGGTCCATGATTGATCATCATGAGGCAAGGTTCCTGCAGTTTTACGGCTCGGCAGCTATCGCAGCACTGAGACTGGCACTTGTGGACTTCCCGGCGGCGGCAGCGAAGGCAGGTTTGAAGGATAACGCGGTTCAGTCTCTTGCAGTGCACGGAGAGCTGCTGAAGACCAGAGTTGGGTTGAGCCTGGCATGAATGGTCACACATGCCCGAAGATAGGAAGGGACATAGATGCTGGACATGTTGGCTGAGACGCTTTGTCGGAGCAACAACTTGATATGAATATGACTGGATCATTCAAAAGCCCACCCAAAAGTTGATAGGCTCATCGCGTCTTACATACCCAACCGATTGATATCATGGGTCCTTTTCGTTCCCTTATCCCCTTTGCACCAGACACCAGACTTGCGCCAACGCTCATAAAATCAAAAGTAAAACCAACAGAATACACAGAACCATGATCAGGAGCCCGATACACCAGCTACTAAGCCGGTCTTCGTTGTGCCTGATGACATACTTCATCTTGTCCATACCCGTCTGCAGCCGCCCGCCCACGCGGTCTGCCAGCGTGTCCGTCACCTCCAGCATCTCCATCTGCTCCTCCATCTCCCGGCCCATGTCGTCCGCCATCCTCCTCAGGTTGCCCACGGTCTGGAACACGCCGTCGAGGTGCTCGTCCTGCTCGCGCATCATGGTCTGCTGCTGCCTCTGCTCAAACTCAGCCGCGTAGTCCTCGTCGCCCTCGCCCGGCTCGCCGTCCGCTATGGCGAACGCGTTGGGGTCGGGCAGGTCGCTCCCGCCCGCGCCCCCGCCCGCGCCGCCGCGCCTCGGGGCGGCCGAGGAGATGTGCTTCCTCAGCTCGTCCCGCATGTCCTCCACCTCGCCGCCGATCTCCTGCACCAGCCGCTTGCGCCGCTGGACCTCGTGCGCCGTGAGGCCGAACTGCGCCGGGTCGGCCTCGACGGCCTTGACGGACTCGACCAGGTCGGCGAGGTCCTCCGCCAGGGACTCTAGCGCGGATTCGAGGTCGGACCGCGCGGAGGCGAGTTCTGGCGAGGTCTGGGTCGTCGTCAGGGAGCGGATGCGCAGGTACGACGTGAAGAGGGGACGCGTCTGCTCCATCTGGGCGAGGACATCTCTGGAGACCAGAGCCAGTCAGCACACGGGGTCTCGTCGCGGACGCAAGCAAGGGGGGCTTACTGCTGGACCTGGAGGAAGGGGTCCTCCTCATTCGTTGAGGACATCATGCTGGGCAGAGGGGATCTGGCCTTTGAAAGACCATCAGCTGAAGCATCGAGCCTTCATACACCTGCAGGTAGTTCTGTGTGTGTTCGCTTCTTATGAGAGTTACTTGTAATAAAGTGTCACTGCGGTTGTTCGAGAGTTGGATATGACGAATGCTGGCTTCCCTATTCCTGGCAGATTAGCTGATTGGCAAGTCAGCACCGCATTGGAGCTTGCAGCCTGCAGGTGCCTGTGCGGCCGAGCGGGCACGCACTCGCCCCAAGCTCCGGGCCCCACGGCGCTAAACACGGCCGGCGCCCCTGAGTTCAAGCTACAAGGTCCCTGAGTGGGGGAGAGGTTCCGGGGGGGGGGTCACTGCGGGAGAGTTACATCTGTAGCTTCAGCCGGCATGTGCTTGGTTTGACCCCGACTCCAAGTCCATCGAGTTGAAACGTGTCTCCGTTCGGTTGCCACTTGCCAGCCCCCATAAAGCTGTCAATTGAGATCCGGATCCCTCGTCAGCTCTGCTCCTCGACCTCAATTCCCATCCATTTCCTTAACCATCGACGCCCTTTCTGAACACAACAGTCAAGATGTTCAATCTGAGGCGTTTCATTGTCTCGGCCGCTGCTGGTCGGCATCTCGATGCTGCTCTTCAGCTCGACTGCCGCTGCCGCCAAAGGGCCCCAAGATCACCCACAAGGTCTACTTCGACATCAAGCATGGCGATGAGGATCTTGGCCGTGTCGTCCTGGGTCTGTATGGCAAGACCGTCCCCAAGACCACCGAGAACTTCCGTGCCCTCGCCACCGGCGAGAAGGGCTTCGGATATGAGGGCTCCGCCTTCCACCGTGTCATCAAGAACTTCATGATCCAGGGTGGTGACTTCACCAAGGGAGACGGCACTGGTGGCAAGTCGAGTAAGTAGTCACGGCGAGGAAAGCCAACGTCTCGATCGATGGATGATTAATTGATGGGTGGACGCGAGATGCTAACGGTGTGGTTTCCACAGTCTACGGCGACCGCTTCCCTGACGAGAACTTCAAGCTCAAGCACACCAAGAAGGGTCTCCTGTCCATGGCCAACGCTGGAAAGGACACCAACGGCTCTCAGTTCTTCATCACCACCGCCATCACTGGGTAAGCATCAAGTCTCGCCCACAGCGCTCCTGCGCATGCAGCTGACATGAGTTGTTCGTAGCTGGTTGGACGGCAAGCACGTTGTCTTCGGCGAGGTCCTCGAGGGCTACGATATTGTCGAGAAGATCGAGAATGTCGAGAAGAACCCTGGCGACAAGCCCAAGGAGACGGTGAAGATCGCCAAGAGCGGGGAGCTGCCTGTGCCCGAAGAAGGTATTCACGTGGAGCTCTAGAGTGGCGCGAGCCCACCATATCAGCACCGACAACACCAATTGCACACCTAGAAATACACACAAACACATATTCCTAGAAATCAATCCAAGTGCGATCAGGTCCCTGTCATAACATCTCATGTGCCCGTGCATCTGTGGCTCGTCTATTTACTGATTCGCCTTGTTTGCCCGCCTTTGCAGAGCCAATCTACGGAAGCGCCGACTGGGCTGCCGGTTTCACTGCGGGAGAGCCGGCCGAGGAGATCCAGCAAGAAGTTCAGGACCAGGCAAGCGGCTCTGCTGACTATGGCGAGTGGTCTTACGTTCAGAAAGGCGCCATCTTTGCAGTTATCGTCGGCTGCGTTGCTCTGTATGTGCGAATTTCGAGGAAGAGGGACCCAAGAGGTGCCGGCTATGAGAAGACCTTGGCGTAAAGTCCCCTAGCATACACGAGAGACGGGGTTTTGCAAGTACAGTGACACGTACGTACAATGATGTAAAGTAGTTATCGCATGCGCAGGCGTTATGGATATGATACTTCTGCTTTATGTATGCCGTGTGAGCAGTTGCTAAACGGGCTCGATCCAAGCACGTAGATACAGTAACAGGCGCCGTCACGTGCCCCACTTACAAAAGACCGGACAGTAAATTTTCATGTGAAGCTTCAGCATCGACATCGCCCCGACACTCTTAAGAAATAAAAATTCAGCCCAGTCAAGATGAAGGTGCTGAGCATAAATTTCCTGACCTGCGCGGTCAAGACCTGCAAGTCTTCGTCGGCGTCTTTCCCGCTGCACCCCAAGGACGCCGAGCTCGCGCAGGACGAGGTCGAGGTCAACCCGCAGTTCCTCATCAACGTCCTGCCCCGCCTTGACTGGGCGGCGCTCAAGACAACATCAAGAGAGGTGAATTTTTTTCTAACCCATTCGACCTAAGAGGAACTTGAGGCTGACCCCGCCGCGTGTCGAAAAGCTGGGCTTCCCAGAGCTCCCTGCCGAGCCGCCATCCGCGGAGGACCTCGAGAGCAACGAGGCGATGCTCAAGGAGCTACACTCGCTCCTCGTGGAGACGCAGATGGTCGAGGGAAAGCTCGTCTGCGGGCACTGCGGGCACGAGTACCATGTGCGGGAGGGGATCGCGAACTTCCTGCTGCCGTCTCATCTGGTATAGGGTCTGTTCGAGAAGTGGGTGACGATGGATTATGAGTAGATGTCTTCAAAGTTTTCGGGAGATAGAACGGAGGGTGGGCATCATGGATTCATGATGAATGATGGGCGATGAGAGTGCTGGTTAGACAGATTTTACGGGATGCATGACAGTCTTCGGCCAACGAGGGACTCTTGAGAGGCCATTGAGGCTGGAAGACGAAGACATGGGGTTTCGTATGGATTGGCATGGCGTTCAGGAAGGAAAATACCAAAACTTAGCCTCGACACCGGCATCAAAGTGGAAGACTTTGGGGCAAATGGGCGTTAAATGGTCCCACGAGACTGGAAGCATTGGAGAGGGAGCGGTCTCTGAACTCCTTGATACCATTCCATTTCTACGGATGAACAATATTGAACCAGCCCAAAAGCAAACTAAACTCCCGAGATGATACATCACTATGCTAACAAAACACCCACCGCATTCTCCACATCATACTCCCAAGCCTTTTGCAGACTGATATCGCCAGCCAGTTTGCTCAGTTCTTCTTCTGCGCGGCTGGACCATTCTCCTTGTCAAAAGCGCCATACGAGACCTCCAGGCTTGCCACAGCCGACAAACCCACGTAGAGGAGGGACAGCATGATAATCAGAGCAACTATACCCATGAAAATGCCCGGGGTGAAGAACTGGTACTTGACGAACAAGGGCGCAGAGCGGTCGCTCGCGTTGCCCGCCGCCCGGGGCTCGACGATGTCGCCCGTCTGTCTCTTCAGCTCCATCTGGATGGCGGCCGACTCGACGTATTCGGACTCGTAGACGGCAGATGAGTGAGGGGACGAGAAGTAGATCACTGTGTAGTCATCACCGCCGGCTTGCGTGCTGGAGAGGATATCGCCGATCTCGACGTCTGCGTTTCTGTCAGTCATGTGTGTTTCCAGCTCATGAACAGAGAGGGGGTTGCACACCATTCTCAGCAAGCTTTATCGCTCTGGCCTCGCCTTTCTGAGCTGGCAAGGCCTCCAGGCGATGCTCCTCGACCGTCAACCCATCCTTCTTCCCTTGCTCCGCACAGGCGGCCTTGATGTAGTTGCTCAGGCCGTCGAGGCTGATATCATCCCCTATGACCTCGGCAACATCATAGCGACCTTGTACAGCTTTCTCGTCCACGGAAGAGCACAGGTTCGCTGAGTGGCATACTCCGGATTGGGGGTTCCGCAGGTCCGAAGCGTGCACGTTGGGCTGGCCGATTAGCACGTAGCGGCTTGTGGGACAGCCGGCCAGGATGTCGTGGGTGGTGTGCAAGGCGCGGGATGTCGATTGAAGTTGGGAGGTCTCGCCGGCTGGTATAGAAAGTCTAACAGTAGGGCTTGTCAGCACACACGAGGACAGGCGTCAAGATCAAGGGCGGTGGGCATACTTGGACGTAGAGAAGAGCACAAGGGGTGAAGAGTCGCTGAAGGCGGCGGCTGTAGAAGCCAGCAGGCTGGCTGTCGTTGTCGAGAAACGCATCGTGTCCGAGGTGGCAACCGTAGAAGTGAATTTAGTGGGAAGTAAGCGCCGCCTGTAGGTCTTCGATGTATCCAGACAACAGACAGGAGCCCAGGTGATGATGATGTTGATGATGGAGAAGCTCGTCGCAGCAGCTCCTTCGATTCAGTTGCCGTCGGCAAGATCCGCCCAGCAAAGCTGCAGCTTGGAGCCGCGCACGCCGCATCCCAGTCGGGGAGTATCCAAAGTTAGCGTATCACGTCACTAAAATATAGGCGGCTGCAGCTTATGTTCAGGGGTCCAGGGCAGACCGAAAAGTAAAATTTCCCGAATTGTAATATTTCCTTCCCAGACGTCCACTTGCTTACACAGCATAATTCAGCTGTCCTCACTGCCCAACATGTTCGCCAAACCACGCCCGAAAAAGTCATTACTTCCCCCGCCCTCGAAAAAGCGCAAGGCAACGCACACTGTCGAGGAGATCAGTTTCGACAATACCGCAAGGCAAGAATACCTGACGGGGTTCCACAAGAGGAAGGTCCAGAGGCAGAAGCATGCGCAGGAGGAGGCTGCCAAGAGGGCGAGAGAGGAGAAGATAGAGTTCCGCAAGCAGGTGAGTCCTGGTCCCCTTTAAGGGGGTGGAATGTGGAGCGTGGGCTGGCGCTGACGAGGGACATGATCAACACAGTTGCGAGAAGACAGGAAAAAGCAGGTCGAGGAACATGTCAAGAATATCGAGGCTATCATGAAGGGCTCGCGGGTGGCCGGCCTGGGCTCGGACCAAGAAGAGTCGGAGACGGACGGCTCAGACAAGGTTGAAGATGATTGGAACGGATTCGACGAGGCTCCGCAAACGCCAGCCCTGGAGGCTGTGGACCATGAGGAGGAGTACATCGATGAGGATCTCTACACAACAGTCAAGGTGGAGGCAGTCCGCGTGGACCGGGATGGTCTGCATAACAAATCGGAACTGGAGGCCGTGGACGACGACAGCGATGAACACAGCGCAGCGGACGACATGGGGTCCAAGAATGCGAAGGGCGCTACGTCTAGTGAGGGCAGGAAAGACCACCCCAAGAAGAAAAAGAAGAAATTCAGGTACGAGACAAAAGTCGTCAGGCAAATGACGAACAGGAAGAACAAGGCGAGAAAGTCAAGAGGTTAGAGCATGTCGAGGCGTGGCCATGCATCTTGGGATACCGGCCACACACCAGTTTTGATACCCGAGCCACGAGAACGTTGACAGTTGTCGAGACATCAACAAATTCCATTATCAACGCGATGTGCTGTGACCAAGTCCAACCATTGTCTAAAGTGCATCCGTGAGAACACCTCTCCTAAACGCAAGAATGCTACATCCTTCACTGGGGTGCATTGATAACGCGCGGTTGCAATGACGAGCCCCCGTTCCGTCCGCGCAGACGAGAGACCCGATACGACTCCGCAGCAAACATCCGGCAAAGGTAACTGTACTGGCAATATCCCCTTCCCAACGCATCTTAGATGTTGCCGATCTCGGCCTGGAACTCCTCCAGCTCCTTCTTGATGTCTGCATACTTCTTGGACATCTCCTCGTACTTGGACTCCCACTGGTCTCGCTCGGACTCGAGGGCCTGGACTTTTCGCTCGAAGTGTCCAGCCTTGACATCGGTTTGCCGGAGCCTAGAGAACAAAGCACGAAGTATCAGCGGTTGTCCACGAACAAATAGGCCTCAGCGGCAATCGAGCAGGGACGGGCTGGTCAGGAAGCAAAGGAAATAGGCAATGTGGCAAGCACCTCCAAGTCATATAATCGTGTGACTTGAATGTGTAGTACTGGGCTACCCACTTCTCGTTGGCCTCGCGCAGCGTCTTGTCGGCCTCCTCGGCCTCCTCCTCGAGCAGCTGGAGACGGCGGGTGAGACTCTCGTTGGTGGTGGAGTGCTGAGTGCCGTCCTCGGCCGCCTTCTTGAAGTCCTTAATGGCGGTCTCGAGCTTCTCGACCTCAGACTCCAGCAGGCCGTTCTTGTGCTGCAGGGAGGTGATGTCCTGCTCCTTGGACAGGTTCTCCTGCTCGAGCGTCTTGACCTTCGACTGGAGCTCCTCGACCTTAGCGGCGGAATCGTCGGCCTCCAGACGGAGCTGGTTCATTTTCTGCGTGACAGAATTCAGTATCGACATCTTGACGGTTATTTTCTCGAATGGCAATGATATGTTTGTAGGGAAGGAGGATATCTGGAGGGAAGACTTCGCTGAGGCTGGTGTGCTGATGGGCCAAGTCAAAGAAGGTTGCGTGTTGCGTGTTGCTGGCCCCGAGTTGGTTGCTCTGCTGCCCCAGGCCTTTGTCACCGCGATGCAGTGAAGGCCTGCAGTGAAGGCCTGCAGTGAAACGGACACCGATATGCCACGAGTGAATATAGCATTGGAGGGGCAGCAGAGGTGACACACCAACACCAAGCAACAGCGACAGACACAGACACAGCCAGAGACCACGACATCGGCAGCAGGAGCCCCCGCCTCCCCAAGCTCCCCCCCTTTCAACAGTCAGTCACACTTACCTCCTTGATGCGATCCATGGTGAATAAGGCAGCAAATTTAAAAGGCTAAAAAAAGTAGGAAGACGGAGGTGAAGGCGGTGGATGGAATGGACTTGGAGCAGAAGAAAGGAGGTTGGCGACAGGACAGTTGGGTATTAGTACCACGGCAAGGTGACAGACTGGTCTGGGAGGAGGTCTGGTGGAGGTCTGAAATAGTACTGACAGCTGCCCCTCTGTAATCCCCCTGGCCGATTCGCTGGCCTTCTAGGGGGCTTCTTTCTCTTCATTAGACCACCCAGTTGAAAGAGCACCCTGCGCAAGTACCACCGTACCTACCCATGCCTGGCCCCCTCATGAGCAGGGATCGTCATTGCTTGCCCACACCCTGCCTGCCCGCCTGCTCATTCCTTTGCTGCCGTGGCTTGTGACCCCAACCAAATGCCGCCTGTCTGCCCATCCTTCCACAGGTCCAGGGGTCCGATGTAGTAATCACTGAGCCCGCCTTGCCTGGATGTTGCTGTGACAACACGGTCAACATCCCAAACTTGTCATTCCAATATGAATTTGATGTCCCATCCTCGCCTTTTCCACACAGAGCACACAGTGCACCGTATTCTTCAACCATCGGAATTAAAACCTACGGAACCAGCGCGAAATCAGAAGGCAACTAATTAAAAGGGCTCTGTGTCTCGAGATTACCAATTTCCCCACATCGCGCCTTGCACTACAGTTATTCACCATGCTGAGAGCACACCAAGACCAAGAGAACCTGGTCTCCATCCACCAGGCCAATGCAGCCACCAAGCAGCACGGCACAACCAGGACCCTTCAGCCAAAGACTCCTGGAGCTCGATACCCAAAGACACCTCTCAAGGTTCCCCTTAATGATGAGAACGTGGTGCGTGGACTGGGAGGGAAGAGCATCCTCACAAACAAGACAAAAGGCGACAGGGCACAATGGCAGACCCCTGCAGGTAAGCGAACACTCCAGAAACCAATGTTGCAGGTGGGATGATCACCATCAATATGGTTGCTTACCAGATTTGAGCAGAACCTCGGACAGAGAGGCCAGTGCTAGGGGACAAAACAACCAACACCAAGGCGAGGCAGCAGGCCATTGGCAAGACTCCTGCCATCGGTGACATTGAGAAAAGCCAAGTTAAACCCACCACCGTGTCTCGGCCCAAGCCAGCAGCCAACAAGGTGGATTCCTCCAAGCTGCAAATCCTCCAAGACATTACCTCCGATCCACTATCCACGGAACCGGACACCAATGCACCACCTCCAGAGCCCCTCCCGTACGAGTCCGATGTCTGGCCAGATGGCGTCCTTACCTTCGATGGAATCAGGCCTCAGAACCGTCTTAAGGGGCACTTCGAATACTACCACAATCGGAAGGATGAGAATGGGACGACAAGGCTCGACAGAGAGATGGAGGCTGCCAGGGTGAGGCGCCACAAGGAGGCCGAGGCAAAAATCAAGGAGGACATGGAGCAGGGCTTCAAGTGGGACCTGGGACTTCTGGAGTCTCCTAAGAAGAAGAAGGTGGTGCCTGTGAAGGATCTAGAGGCTACAGACAAACTTCTCGTTCGACCTGGCGCAACGAGAGCCCCTCCAACTATTGCTTCAAGACGGGCAGCTTCAGCATTGGGGATGGCGGGCAAGACGCCTACGACATCCACAACGTCTACGACGAACCTTCAGCGAAAGCCACTTGCCCCCCAAATCGGCTGCAGCTACCAATGCGAGCAAGTTGCCGAGCTTCATGCAGCCCACCAGGGCCAGGCCAGCACCGCCATCAGCAGCCGTGACCTCAAGGCCTAGGCCCTCTTCAACAGCAGGCCTGGCTGCCTCCAGAAGCACTCTTGGCTACAGCAAAGGCCGCAGCGCCTCCTCGGCCCTCCACGACGGCGCTGCCCAGGACCAGCAGCACGTGCACAGCAGATCCGAAGCAAGGTCGCGTGTCTTCTCCAGGACAGCGAGCGGGGCAAGTGATTCGACCGTCACGCCGGCGTCCTACGCCAAGGATAACGCGAGTCCAAAGCCTGACTTCGTCTCCATCTTTGATGTGACTCCGAGGCCAGACGAGGACGAGAGTGGCAATCTCTTTGGAAACGGCGGCGGTGGCGCTGACGATCTATTCGGTGCAATCGAGCACGATGAGGACGACTTTCAGCTCCAGTTGAGCCCTTGATCACACCGTATGTTCTTTTGGAAGTCGGGTTGGCGTTTTGGAAGATTATGGGTTGGCAGCGGATCGGTATGGACATGAAGGAGGGCCTTCACGCCTCCTCGGGTTGAAAGTCAAGGATTCAGGGTGATACCCAAGGCCGATTGGACGGCTCTTTATGTCGCCTTGAAGCGAGTATTTTCAGAGGTACGACTACAGCATGAGCAGGATAAGCATGGCCAGAGCTTTCTGAGAATGTCTTACTGTCAGTCCATGGCTCGTTATTTGAGCGTACCATCAGCACACGTTAGCTGAGGCTTCAAGCATGTCATATACCACGCGCATTGTTGATTTGTGTATTATTATCTTACTGTGCACCATGGACAGTCACCATTGGCGTCTCAAAGTGAAGCGTGGAAAACATCGAGTCATTGGGCAAAGACATGCAGATTATTGGAATTGTCCACATTATCTTTTTAGGTAGGTTCTCCTTGTGAGCACCTGCAACTCTCCTCTTCTCAACTTTATCACTCTGGGCTGGCCGAGGACTTGCTGGATGGACACCCTGCCCGTTCTCTAGCACGGGCGTCCTAGCTTTCCTTGGGTGAGGTTGGGATTACGTATTTCACCTGATTGCCCAAATTGTTTTCTCCCCCTTCCCAGCACTTCCTAAGCCCCCTCAACGGGATTGGACGTGTCTCTCTTTCCTCGTCTGGGGGCCTTCTTGCGTTGCCCCAGAGGCACTGCCTGTTTGCCCCCCTTCCACTGGCATGCAAAGCCAACAGTAAATGCAGGTATATAACCAGAAACCAGAAGAGAACCACACCTCTAACCCAGCGGATGAGAACAGATGCGCGTGAAGAACAACCACCTATCAATGCTGCCACTCATACCAGCAACCAACAAGTCGCTATGTTCTCCCTGAGGGTATGTTGAGAAAACACCGCGAAGTGCTTGGCTGACTATCTTGACATTGCGGAAGAGTAAAGGATTAGTTGAGGAAGCCCTTGCACTCTGGCGTGCCGCACAGACAGGGAATACGATCTTCCGAGCGCATCTCGCGGTCGAACTTGTAATCGTATGTCAATTCCTCGTCTGCAAGGAATACGTCAGTAACAAGATCATTCAAACCCAAAGGCCCGGAGATTTACTTACTCTGTGCGATGGCCCTCTCTGCATAGATGACAATCCTCTTGCTCCCTTCCACGCGGATGATGCTGGCCTTGCAGTTTGGCGCACAGCTGTGGTTGATGAAGCGCGCAATGCCACCCTTCTTTGTGGCATCAATGACGGTGTCATCATCGATCCGGAACAGGTAGCTGCTGCCTATGCCGCTCTTTGTGTACTGCTGCTCACGGAGATCGGCGATCTTCTGTCGCACCTGCTCGCCGACATACTCGATAATCATGTCGTCCTTGGCAATGTTCTCCATGGCGTACAGGCCCCAGTTATGTATGGCGGAGCGGGCAAATTTGACGGGCTTCTTACGCTTCTTCAGCTGGTTGAAGCGTAATACGTCCGACGCCTGCCCAAACACCTTCTGTGTCTTTTCGAGGGAAGAGTTGTGGTCACGCTGCTTGGCGCGCGTGTCGCGCGCATTGCTCTGGGAGGCAACGTGGTCGGGTGCAACTCTCGTGTTGCTAACCTCAGCAAGCGCACCCTTGACCTTGCCGCCTTTACCAGCCTTCTCACGCTCCTCTCGAGCCTTCTGCACTTTGATGTGGTGCGGCAGGTACTTGGACTTCTCGGAGTTGAGAATCTTCTTGATGCCTGCCGTGCGTGCGCAGCCTGTGGGGTTCGGCACGTAGTAGCCTCCGATGCCCACAATCTCCCCAGAGCCATCCCATGAATTCAGCTCTCTGATGCGGTCTCGTTTCCAGATCCACGCCTGTGGGTCGCCAATGTCTTCCACATTGAACTTCTTCTTGAGCTTCGTCACGTTGGGCTGGTCACCATCCCCAGGGAGCATGGGTCGCATAGACTCGATGTCGAGCTTGAAATTGGCAGGAAGGGCGAGAGCTTTGGTGACATGTTCCGGGTATAATGCTGGATCTGGCAAGGGTTTATCTGGGTCTTCAGGAGGCGGGGTGGGCTTGAAATCTGGATCAGGAGGTGGTGTGGGCTGATGGAGAGATTCAGACTTCTTCTCGGCTTCCTCTTCGAAGATCTCTTCCTGCTGTCGCTTGAGAGCCTCACGCTCCTCAAACAGCTGCTTCTTGGATTTCTTCTTGGGCTTGTTCAGAGCCTTCTTTGCAGCCTTGGACACCGGTTCCTGCGTAGCTACAGACGAGTCATCCATATTGACCGCCATGGAGTCTGCGTCGTCCAAGACAACATCCTCAGACGCGTCCCGGAGAGGGTATTCGGTCTCAATGTGATCAATGGTCACCCCGAATAGCTCCTCGTCGCTCTTCTTTTGACGCTTGATTGCAGTCTCTACCTGCAGGTCGAGCTTTCTCTTCTTGATACGCGGCAATGGCCCGTCTTGTGCCAGGCTGGCCTCGGTCATCGAGTCATCCTCGGCAGGACCCCACTGTCCGAAGTCATCCTTTGCGTCTTCATCAGTACTCATGCGACTGCGAGGCCGAGACTCGGGCTCCTCAGTGTCTCTCGCCAGAGAGTCACGATTCTCCACTTCGTCCTCAGATTCCGCATCACTTTCGGCGTGTTGCAGGCGATGGTGCAGAGAACGAAACGCTGGCCGATGCGAGTTCGGTCGCTCTCGAGCAAATGGGTCCGTAAACCCAGGTCTCCGAATGAGGCTGCCTTTCTTTGCCTTGCGAATCCGGGGGAGCGCAGTGACATCGAGGTGTTTTGTACGCCGTTCGATCGGGTCCGCCCGTGAGTTGGGCGTGCTCGCAGGAGACTTTTCTTCCGTGTCCTCGAAAAGGAAGGCAGGTGTTTTAGCCCCGGCTGGATCCTCGATTCCAAATTTTCGACGTTTGGCAGCATGATTAGCAGGGTCCAGGAACGTGAACAGACTCGGCGCAGCAACTTTCTGGCGAATATGCTTTATGAGGTGCTCGACCATCTCTCGTCGCACGACCTCAGCAGCTTCCTTGACCGGGTCAAAATTGTTGGCTCGCTCGCGCTTCTCATCTTCCAAGTCCCTCAAGTCTTCCCTCCTTGCGCGCTCCTTGTCATCTCGCTTCGGGGGCTCGATTGCGACCGGGCGGCGGGGCGGGCTGCGACTTCGCCGCTTGTATGTCAGCGACGTCGAGTTCACCGCCGGTTTGCCCTCGGCCCCAAACAAGTGCAGCTTCATATTGAGGTTGTAAGTGAAGAATGCGGTACCGTCTGCTGACGCCTGGCATTTCTCAGCTTCGGTGCGTCCGAATGAGGAATCTCGAAAGACAATATAGTATCCAAGCCTGTCGGCGCGAATATCCTCCCACCGGTAGTTTTTCAGCCGCTTCTTCATGTGCGCAATTGTCGTCGGCATGACTGGAACGAATTCGTGGGCGACGAAGATGTACGGTTCGCTCTTGAGTTGGGTGGCAACCGGTACTTGTTCGATCAGGGTCGATACCCGCGGCGCGACGGGCAAGGGCCGCACTTCGGGTGTCGGTCGATACGCAGCAGGGCCTTTAGGCGCCGTCGGAGGCGGTCCTGGAATGATTCCCGTCGTCCTGGGGGCCGTGGGTATGGGTTTCGTGATCAGGGGCTGCGACCTCTCCCGCTCCTTGTGCAAGACCTCTTCCAACATGCGCCGGCTCTTCTTGCCCTCGGGGTCAAATTCCACCCGAACGACGCTAGACTCTATTTTCTTCCCATTCATGGCTCGAACAGCGCGTTTTGCAGCGTCAATGGCCATGACTGGGTGAGGCCGTGAGCGGTTTGGCTTCGAATCCTTGTACCGAAAAGTAGCAAACCCCAGAAAGCTGCCGGTTTCAGGGTGCATCTTGTTGCTGCTTTCTGCGACGTCGCCAAATGAGGCAAAAATGGCTGCAACCTTGGAGAAGGTGATCAGGGGATTAAAACCAGAGACCACCAGTTGGGTCGGCGGCCCAGGCCCAACAGACGTCCTGGAGTCCCATGGGTACGGCTTCACGTTGTAGGGCGACTGCCGCAAGCGAGACTTGGGAAGGTGGTAGTCGACGTTGATGTAGTCGAGGCGACTGCCCTTGGCAAGTCGCGGGTCGGCTGGAGGGGGAGCGTCATCTTCCTGTTCACACAGTAACTTATTAGCCAGATTGTTCAAAACTCAGAAGATGACGCTCCCCTTTGCCGGGTCGAGTGTATGATGTGTACGTACCAACCCAAACTCCTTGTATTTTGGCTTCTTCTTGTCCCGCGACGATCGATCGGTGGAAGGCTCATGTATAGACTTGATTACTTGAATGCGAAGTGAAGGATCTCGAGCCGGTACGCGATGTACGAGGCCGGCCTGGTCCACCGTGGGGTTCTTCTCACAGGCGCCATCAAGGTTCATCGTGGATCCGTTGGTCTTGTCGGAATATGAGATGTTGCGTGAGGTTGACTTTGAAGGTTGCGAGTTTATGGCCGTTGACGGCGAGTCGATGGTCGTCAAAGGGGTGAGATGAGAGTAGGATGAGCTCTTGGGGGCGGTAATACCGTTGGGTCGCAATGAACCGTTCGTCATTGAGGACGCCATGCTTGTGTTCGAGGTCTCCGAGCCAACTGTGTTGGGGATGTCCCTTGGTATGTTGTCGATATCATCAGCGGGTGTTCGCGATGGATCTGATACTGAGGTGTCCCGGCGGGATCTCGAGGTGGCAGGATCGTCTTGTCGCGCGCTGGGGGTTTGGTGACCATTTATGGCCTTGTCCAGATGGGCAGACGACGGCGACTCTGTAGCTTCCTGTTTCGCCTTCTCGCGCTCCATCGCCCTCTCCCTGGCCGCCTTTGGAGCCGCGGGGAAGAACTGCGCGAAGCTCGCACTCGAGGGGCGAGTCATCGTGTCCAAAGCCGACAGCTATATCTTCACCACTTCCACCGCCCTCCAACCATCATAACTCGCTTTCCTGATGCAGCAAATGACACCTTTCATGGGTGGATCGATGAAGGGAAGGCAATGTCGCGATGGTGTCGCGCGTCAAGCGTCGGGGTACGCGACGGCTGGGAGCGAGGGAGGCAGGGAGGGAGGCTTGGGAGAGTATTGGCCCGGCGGCTGGGGACTGGCGGCTGGCGAATGGGAAATTGCTTGGGCCCAGTTTCCAGTGACGTTGGAGAAATCTGACTTCTGCGGTGCGAAGACAGGCTGGCTGCCTGGATGGCTAGCTGATGAAGGGTCGGGAGCTGAGAAAACTCAGCAACCAGGGCTGCACGGCAGGTCAGGCAGCAGACCGAGTGTCGCCCCCTTTCTGGGTGTAGAAAATGAAAAAGAATAATGGGCACGTAACAAAGCTGAGAACGTCAAGGAGCCCTGCCGCAAGACGCAAGGTGGTTTCGTGGATGGGGTAAAAGTCAAAAAGGTGGAAGAAAGGGATTCAGTGCTCGGCTCAGTTGGCGGCGCGCGAACAGACCCAAACCCAGGCCGGACCTCCTAGCCCAGGGATGCGAATTGGGATCTGGATTGCGATGCCTCTCTGCCCAGTCGGCCCTGCTCAGCACTGCTCAGCTCCTGCTCGCTACTGCTGCAGCACTTCCAGTAGCCAGTCTCGAGCCAGTGACAGGCATGAATCCATGAATTGGGGGCGAGGAAAGCAGCTGCAAGGGTGTGGCAGCCGTACCTGGATGCCCTGGTCAGCCTGCCAGCGAGCGTACATTGCAGATAGACTACCAAATTACAGTGTAGTCATCTACTGCCTGCCATCTCACATGCTGAGACCCACTAAACAGGGAATGGCGCTAAAATGCAGAGAGTGGGGCACCCAAGTACCTTTGACAGCCTAGGTCATCTTTGATGTGATACTCGGGTTGGTGAAACCCCAAAAGGACCAAGGTGATATGATGGAATGCCTTCCCACATTGAAGATGAATACAAGAAGTAGATGTTTGCAAAGTTAGCGATGATAAAGCTACCGTCCATGTTGACATACAACAGCAGTTCTCAGTTCCAATGTATGCCAGATGGCCAAAGACGGTCTGTTGTCATACAGTTATGTCTAGAGCCAGCCAGCTACTCGTCCACCTAGTAATAGCTAGGCGTGTTCGCTTCCTCAAGGCAGTGTCCCATAGGATAGATCAATGCCCAACAGCATTAGTGGCATTGCCAGGCCTACCGTCCCGGCAGACCATCCAGCCAGGAATTCCTTGCACGCAGCCTTGTGCTCCTCTGAGCATGACAACCGGCATTCCAGCGTAGAACATGTTCCTCCTCATCCTGCATAGTATCAGATGAAGCAGGTCGAGTGACAATGTATGTGTCATGAGTAAAGGAGCACAAGTCTTCCACCCAACGTTAGAAGACAATGATAACAAGTTGTGTTGTGGCCAGAGTGTATCAGCCCAAATAAGACTCGGCAGTTGAATGTATCAGAACAATTGTCGCCCCAAAGACAACATCAGCAGCGCATTCCTAAACAGCTCGTCGGTCTTGAGGGCCACATCGTTTCCTCGTTCCCTCGTAGGCACCTTAGTAAGGCTCCTCCCGGCTGCCATTGCCACCAGAGTAGCCGTTGTCACGGCCACTGTCACGTCCCCAGCCGCCACCACGTCCGCCGCCGCGGTACGAATCTCCACGGCTGTATCCGTTGTCGCGGCCGTAGCCACCGTCGCGGCCGCCGTAGCCACCGTCGCGGCCGTAACCACCACCACCGTCACGGTTGAAACCACCACGTCCGCCTCGGCTGAAGCCGCCACCACGTCCCCGGCCACCGCCGAAGCCACCGGACCTTTGGATCCGCTCCTGGACGGTAATGGTACGTCCATCAAGTCTAGCCACAAGACGTATTAGCATACGGCCCGGAAAGTACGATGGGAGAGGTCTCTTGAGAGATCAACAGCCATTGGTGTTATATGGACGTACTCAGAGTTGTTCATCTCATCGATGGCAGTCTTGGCGGCCTGGTCATCGCTGAAGTCAACGAAGCCGAAGCCAGCGCTCCTGCCGTCTCTCATGACAACGGTCTGTGGCGTTGGGTCAGCACTTGTCGCTTCAATTCCCCTCATGGTGCAGTGAAACACTGACAGCCTTCTCAATGTCGCCAAACCGCTCAAAGGTCTGCGCAAGGGCCTGGTCGTCGGTGGACCATGACAGGTTGCTGGTATCGGTTAGTGGGTGCTCCCGTGCGAGATGCCTGGAGCTCGACTCACCCGACATAGATGGTGGTCGTCCTGGCGGCAGGGGTACCCGAAAATGACCTGGCGACAAAATTTAACTCTCATTGTTCACAGCGGCAGAAGATGTGGACATCCGGCAAGGCCGGGGGCGCTAGCATCACGTAGTAGAGCAGTAGAGATGGCAGGAAGGAGATTGGAGTTGGAAGTGATTGTATTAGTGTGTGATGATCGAACAGTTCTACTCATGCGCCCAAAATGCGATGGGATGGCGCAGATTTGGCCATAGAAGTACATCTGGGCAGGAAGGATTGCGCTGTGCCTGAACGTGGCAGCAAAGGCCCCAAGCATGTTGAGACGCGGAGCGCGGTTGTCGCACGAGCACGGAAAAGTGCTGGGCATCAAGATTTGGGATGCGCGACGGGAGCCTCAATGAGCATGAGAGATAGATTTACCTGGATGCAGGAGCACCGGCGGTGGGGGAGGGGGCGGATTCAGCCATGCGAGCAATGATACGCGTTGTAGTCGGGAAGAGGCGGGCCAGCATTGAAGGGTGGATTTGTCGAAGGTGTCGACAAACGAAGATGATCGAGCAAATGTAGCACGATCGGGGGTGAGTGAGGCTGGAGGGGAGCTTTGGGGTTGGTGGAGGTGGATGTTGACGGGGGACGTGATGAAAATTTCAAGCATGGCGTCAAGACGAAGGCGTCAATCCAGTGACAGACGGACGATCCCTGGCACTGAATTTCGTTCCGCCGGACCGCGAGCTAGGCCGCAAGCAGCCCAGAGCCCCCCTTTCGTGCCTAAAACCTTCGGAGCCCTGTGGCAGGCAAGCTTTATTAACCAGCCAAACGTCACCGTAATATCTCATCATCGCCTGCACATTCTCCAGCTCACTTCGTCGGGTTGCAGCCATACTACTCAATGTCATGCATCTACCTGGGCAGCGTCGAGCGGGAGTCCCTCGCTTGGGGCAGACTGTGCCTTCTCAGGAACTTGACCAGGCCCAAAGCGGCGGCAACGAGCGAGCACGGAACAGAACGGTAGAGTGTCGAGCCTTCCTTTCAAAATCACCACCTGCCTACCTGCCAGCAAACACGGGAGATTGTTGCATACATATATCGACCCTTACTTGTCTGTCTTCGGCGCTTACGATCTCAATGGCACGAGAACGTACAAGGACAGACCTCAACCTCCTTCCTTGGCCCTGTCAGATTCAAATGACATGGGCACCTGTAGAGATTTCATTTGAAATGGTGGACTTATAGACTCCTCCTCTCTTGAGACATAACATCCCGCATATTTTGCGAAATCAATGCTGTTGAGAGATGTCAAACCGAATGAGCTACCACATTTTCACAACAGCAAGAGAACATGTGGATCCGCAATTGTGACTGCACAATTCAGTCGGTCGGTAGCCACTCGAGCCAGTCCGTACTTGACCGTAAGAGTACAGACAAGGCAGTGAGTAAACGGCTTTGTTCAGCGTGGGTATGTAATTCGCAAGTTCTTTCGATAATTGTTGTGCTGAAGCAGACAATACCTTCTAAGACAATCACTGTTCACAAGGGCATTTGTTGAATCGGGGCCGCTTCAACAAAGTCTTGTGGAGTACTTGCAACATTTGAAAACATACATAATGACTCCATGCCTCAGACAGAAATGGCCAATCATTCTTGCATCTACAAATCAACATCTCAAGCCTCCCGATCCATCAAACACTATTCTATCTCAATACTCCACTTTTTACACACAAAACCAACATGTCGACCCTTACCGAATTTGTGGACTACTACGCTGTCCTTGGGCTTCCATCAACGGCATCCATTGATGAAATCCGAAGGACAGTCCATGAAAGGATCGATTTTCTACTCGATACAGACTCCGAAGACTCCGCTGTGTACAATCAGTGCATCCTTCTACGAGAGATCGAGTACATCCTCTGCGACGAAGATCGTAGGTCCAAGTATGACGCTGACTACCAAGTCTCCGTGGAATCTTGAGGCAAGTCTAGATACGGTAGGAAAATATGTCTTAGAAGTCTGGGCATACAAATTCTTGCTACTTTGCACTCTCGGGTAGATAGGTTAGCCGTTTTCAATTAACACCACTATGTCGGCCACAAGCACTGCTTCATTTCGTAATCTTGTGCCCTCCTGATCTTTCTGCAGTACATTTGTGTAGACTCCTTTCTCTCATCCTTTTGTATTGACTCGAGCTCACTATCAAGCGGTGGTGGTACAGCTTGTGTAATAGTAAAAATGCCACACTTACATTTGACAGGGCAAGGCTACGGCGGGCTCGTGAGATTGCTAATGTCATCTATTTGAGCGTAATCGACCACAATGTAGTAAAGTAAATTCTCAGGTAAACTCCACCCATCAAATCTCATAGTCCGATTTGAGCATTGCCACAGCAGGAAAGAATCATCGCTGGGCGGACACTGAAGTGTCGATCACAACCATACCCGCCTGTTTGTCAGTAAGATTCGGCGAAGGACTGACTGCTTATCGGACGTCGATAAGGAACTGAATTGAGAGGCTGGCGGGAAAAAAAGGGTGGCTGACGTATTGAATTGCCAGGGAAACGGGTCCGACCCACCTTCCCCAATCGGAATCCGTGTCAACACCAGCGACTTGCAGCACGCGCGTTGGCAGGCGCAATGCGCTGTCAGACAGATGCATTCCTCAAGAAGGCAGCGATATCGTGAAGTTGTGGACGACATCTCGGAGACACTGCTCGGGATCTCTTTCGAACCGCGACTCATGCCGTCCCCCGCCATCGACCCGCGGACCATCCGCTCATCGGCTTCCACGCCGTCGCTGCGCTCTCGTGATGGCACAGTGCCGCTGCACGCTAGGATGGACAACGGTGGAAACGTGCGCGTCGTCGTGCGCGTGCGCGCATTCCTGCCTCGAGGTATTCCAGCCTCTCATCTTGCACCTCGGCGGTGCCACGGGTCCGATCGGTTGCTAATGATCGTCGCGACGACGTTTAGAAACGGAGCGTGGGGCCGAATGCCTAATTGACATGAACCCGATCAGCCAGGCCACAACTCTGCTCGTGCCTAATGATCATGACCCGGCAAACCAGCGGACGAAGACACGCAAGATCACCGAGGAGAAGACCTTCACCTTTGACAGCTCGTTCTGGAGCCATGACACCAAGGACCCTCACTATGCCACGCAGGAGGATGTCTACAACAGTCTTGGCGAGGAGTTCCTGGACCACAACTTCGAAGGCTATCACACCTGCATCTTCGCCTACGGCCAGACCGGCTCGGGGAAGAGCTACACAATGATGGGCTCGCCAGATCACCCTGGACTCATCCCCCGGACCTGTCAAGATCTCTTCGAGCGTATCGAGGCTGCGCAGAACGAGACGCCAAACATCAGCTACAATGTGCGGGTGTCTTATTTCGAGGTATACAATGAGCACGTCCGCGACCTGCTCGTTCCTGTCATCCCAAACCAAGCACCTTATTATCTCAAGATCCGAGAATCACCAACAGAGGGCCCCTATGTCAAGGATCTGACAGAGGTACCGGTCCGCAGCATTGACGAGATCCTGCGGTACATGAAGACGGGTGACAACTCCCGGACGACAGCGTCGACAAAGATGAACGACACATCTAGCCGCAGCCACGCAGTCTTCACCATTATGTTGAAACAAATCCACCACGACGTAGAGACAGACGAGACCACTGAGCGGAGCAGCCGCATCCGACTCGTCGATCTGGCCGGCAGTGAGCGCGCCAAAGCAACAGAGGCAACTGGACAGCGGCTTCGTGAAGGTAGTAATATCAACAAGTCTCTGACGACCCTCGGCCGCGTCATCGCCGCACTTGCGGACCCCAAGTCCCAGCGTTCCGGCAAGGGTGGCCGTGGGAAGGACGCTGTTGTCCCTTACCGTGACTCGATTCTCACATGGCTCCTCAAAGATTCCTTGGGCGGGAACTCCAAGACCGCCATGATAGCATGTATCGCGCCCTCGGACTATGAAGAGACGCTATCCACTCTGCGGTACGCAGACCAGGCCAAGCGGATCCGCACACGCGCCGTGGTCAACCAGGACCAAATTTCAAGTGCAGAGAGAGATGCGCAGATTGCTGCCATGGCGGAGGAGATCCGCGCCCTGCAGCTTTCTGTTTCCGAGAGTCGGTCGAGGGAGAAGAATGCAAAGGACCAAGAGGAGCGCCTGGAGGAGTACCAGGATCGTGTCGGCAGCATGCAGCGCATGATGGAAGAGAGGGGACAGGTGTACGAGACCAAGATCCGGTCTCTACAGACTGAGAACGAGGCGCTCAGGTTACATTTGAAACTTGCCTTGGACAGTCTGAAGAATCCAATCCCACCCGTCACACTCAACAGCCGGCCGGGGACGCCGGATAGCAAGCAAGATGAGGAGAATGATGAGGGTGAAGTTGAGGCCGAGAACGCACCGGAAGATGACCAAACGTTCTACGAGGACAGCGACGAAGATGAGGCATACAACTCGGATGACCACGAGGAACGACACAATGAGATGCAGGAGCATATGCAGGCACTGCTCAAAGACTTGGGCTTGTTTAGAAGGAAGATTGGAGATGACAAGGGGAGGTGGGTCGAGGAAGAGGGCGACGCAAGAAGGCCATTAGGTGAACGCGATAATGTCTGAGTTTATTGCGCGCCTTGAGAATACTGTTTGCGGGTGTGTTGGACTGGGACTCATTGGCGTCTGCATGCTTTTCATTTCCCCTCTATTACAAGGGCAAGGCAGGGTGTTTAGGAGTTACGTCGACAATACTGGATAGCCGTCATTGAACACGAGAATGATGAAGACAATTCAATGGCAACAATTTCGATACATCTGACAAGGGTAGTTCAGCTGAAAGGTCACCCATCGCCAGGCTACAAAGAATGGGGCACCCGGCCTTGATTACGCCCTGAGCCACGTAATTCTGCCACGATAGTTTGATGGTTTGATTGTCGTGGCCAACTGTAGTATTCAGCTGGTGAAATAGGACACTGATAATATCATTGAGAGACAGTCACGGTGGAAGAAGTTTAGGACAGTTCGCAGAGTTTGGGACACAGAGCTCTTTGTTTTCATGAAGCCATTTGGACCATAAGTATTCACGTTATATTGTGTCCTGATCTCGAGTCCCAAGCGGGTGTTCGGGTCCAGAGGCTGCGGTCCTGCAAGGGCTGTGCCACTAGCCAGGTACCATCCAGAAATACATGTGAGAGAATGGATTAGGACATCTTGACGAAAATGATTGCGGTTAGCTCCAGCCTGGTCCAAGAATGTTTTGGGAAGCCTTACCGAAGCCGCTGAAGGGAGCATGACCACTCTCATTGGGCTGGACACAACACTTTCGGTCGCAGCCAGAGCCCTGTATGACCGTCAAGGACTCCCACAGAGGATTCTGACAGCTGTAGCATGGAAAGTGGATTTTAACGATGATGATCGCACCAACAGTCCTGCGGATCACTCTGTCCGTGGGCGCTTGTTCTCGCCCTCCTCGACGCCACCATGGTCGCGAGTCCTGACCGTGCCCGCGCCGTCTCCCAACTCCTCACCCTCCGCATCCCCGTTCTCGCCACCATCGCCAATCCAGTTCCCGTCCTCGTCAAAGTATTCGTTGACATTCTCCGCCGTGATCCACCCGCTGCTGCCCGGCATGGGCGGCGGCAGTCCGCCGCTCGCGTTCCCCCGGAATGCACCTGGGAGGCCCTCGATAGCCTCACCGCTAGCATCCACATTGCTCTCAAAGATGATCCTGTCTGCGTAGTCCTCTCCGTCCTCCTCGTCATCGTCCTCATCCGGGTCGGGATGGAGATTCTGGCACGCGGTTATGGCATCGAACAGCTTTTCCTGCTCAGACCTCGGGCTCGAGCCTGCCTGGGCAGCAGAGGATAGGTCTGTGGACGTGGGTGGCGGGACGATCGTGAGTTGTACAGTGTCAAAAGTTTCATCGTCTGCGCCGCCGTCAGACAGGTCCAGTTGCAGGAGGATGCACGGGGCCTTGGTCGATTCGCTCTCGCTGGTTCCGTTTCCGGTAGAGGCAGGCTCGGCCTTGTGTTGCATTGCATGTAGCGCTATCGAAGGAAATGGTATTTGCACGCCAGAGCCCGACTTGCGGTTGAAGATGGTAAAAGTCCTAGAAAGCAGTCAGCAACTCGATGTAACAGACGCCGGGTGTAACAGGTCAGACCTACTCTGAGTTGACAAACAGCTCGACGTCATCTTGCGAGATGATCTCACCCAAATCTCCTTCGGACACCGGGGAGTCGGCAGGAAAGATGGGCAGTGTGCTCTGTTGGTCTTTTGGGAGCCATGCTTTCGCGCCGGTCGCGTGGTAGTGGAGGACGGGCTTTCCGCCGTGGAAAGTCTCTGGGGTCGTGGATTGGTACTCTGAGAGGGGCGTGAAGTCGCTCAGAGACGGCGACGCGTGAATCGTGGTGGGCAACATCTCGGGTCTTCTCGCGCGCCTCGAATTGATCGGTGGAGGGGTACTGGGCAACCTGAGGAAGCTTGGGTGTTGTCACGATCAAGGCAACTTTTTGGCCTTGGAGGGGAGCTCCGATAAGACGCAGGTCCCAGGCAGGTCCCAGGCACCGCCAGGAGCTGCTGTGTCCGGGATCCTTATCGGCATGTGACCACCGTGATACAGACCACCCAACGTCTCAACACCCATGTCATCACCCTGTTTTGTCACCTCATCCATCTGGTTCTCATAGCGTTGTCTCCTCATCATCACGGGTCCCTCTTGCACAAATATAACAAGTCATCGCCCGCCCTCTTGCTCTCGGTCCAGTTTCAAAGCAGCACACCAAACGAGACTGCTCGTCAAGATGCACGACAACCGTAAGTGGACAGCCTCATCACTCACTCGTCTTAGCACTCACTTATCTATTCCAGGAACCCACCCGCTCCTGGCCCAAGTGCCTCTGACAGTATCCCCTTTCACCAACCTGCCCACATCCATCACCCTCCCCTACACGTACAAGGCCATGCCATCTACGCTACCCCCCTCGGCCACGGGAGTCACATCCGCCACCGATCCAGAGTCAAGCGACAAGCCCCGCTACGTCGTCTCGCAGTCCGGGCACGCTGCTCACCCAGACGACATCATTGCCAGTTGTCGGGCCCTGCAGGCACATCTCACCAAACTGCAGGGCGACGCGGAGCAGGAACTCCGAGAGCTCGACGACAGGATCAAGGCGAGGGAACTGGCGGAGAAGCGGAGGGTCGCTCCCGGCTGGCTGGATAGCGATGCGAGACTACTGGAGCCGGAGAGGACGGGTGGCAACGGTGGCAACGGGGAGGGTGCTATGGATCTCATGACGGGGGACGTTGCCGGTGGCAGTGCGAGTGACCAGCTGAGAGGGATGAGCCTGGCTGCGCAGCAGGGCCACGCGGGGCCAGATGGGCTGAGCGAGATGGCTGCGCCGGACGATCAGGGAGCCCAGCTGGACAGGGCTTTCGGCAGCTTGCCTCTGCGGCCAAAATGAGCTGGCGTGAGCGTAGGACGCATTGGGCGAGGGTCTCAGGCCAACTGTCTACAAATTGTTGCATTTCCTTTCATTACTTAGACAAGCCTTGCCATTTCTCTGTTCATTTCACATAGACCGTTGGTCAGGCCGAGCCAAGACTGACTGCAACACCACTCGCTAGGAGGATGACGGGGAGTAAGAGGCTTACCACAGACCGGGAAGTAAAAGGTGGTCGCTGAACAATTTCACGATGAGAAAGGCATTCGCATTCATGGATTGGATGCTCCACGTTTTTATCCCTCTTGTAGGGATCACGAGGCTTGTTAATGAGTTCCACACGGCTGCCTGGGTTATTGTTGAAGATGCGAATGAAGCACTGGATTCCAGAAAACAATTAATGACTTGTCTACTGACGTGCAAGAATCTCAAGGCTTGTAGGAAAGGATTCGTAGGTGAGTGGAGGGCGGTGCTCAATTGCGCGTTGGTTGTTTAGGCAGGCAAACGACCATGCGTCACAACGGTTCAGTGGCTGGGCCACAACCACCACTTTCAAGGCGATCGTGGCATGCGCCGTGTGGATAATTCACAGGCTGCTTTCATTTCTTCTTTCCTTGCACCTATGGCACATCTGAGTTTCGTACCCATGCTTACGAGGCTGAGCCAGGCCAGTATATATTAGTGGCAGACCCCTGGCCTCAAACAACACCAACTACCTATACCTACCGATTCTGTTTTCCAGCTCAATTTCCCACAAATTCCACGAATATGGACCTGCCGCCGTCCCCTCCTCAGCGAATCGTCCGAGTTGCGGCCCGGCTGGCCGACTTGCCTGTGGAGCTTGTCGAGCCCGTTCTCAAGGATCTCAGCCTCCATCGTGTTCTCCAGCTCGCCACCACGCCCTCGGCCACTCCGTCCGAGTCGCGGCTGAGGGGCATTATCGAGAAGAGTCTGTCCTGGAGGACCGTCTTTTATACCGGCAACGACCAGCCGCAGCGCATCTGGAGGTCGCTCAGCCAGCTCGCATGGGCCTGGAACCGTCAGAATGTCCAGCAAGTAGCTTTTCTCAACCACTCCAGGCTGAGTCTCTCTCCTGGTGAGCTTGTGCGTGCCTGTGGGTCGGAATTTGGTCTTTCAGTGGTCAGAGACCTGGAGAAAACCTTCATGCAGGGTTTCGCACAGCTCTTGCGGATCCCTGGTCAGCACCCTGGTCTGCACGATGGGCGTGCTTTGGGTCTGACAACGGCGCTTTTGGATGGCATTTGTCGTTCCATTCCGGTCGACGTTTTGACATCGATCGACGCCCACAACCTCGGGGAGCTTCCCGATGCTTCCTTACTGCAAGATGGTTCCTCTGGCAAACACACATATACCTCCTCAACACTACATGGTACGCCGGGGCTTGGGACGCAGCGCAGCTTCAGGCCTTCCTACCATTTTTCATACGCGCATTTGATAGACTCAATGAAGTCAAGTCCGAGCAGCTTCTGCGGCTGGCTGCACTTTACGATAATTATCCCGCCTGGCTGAAGGTCCCTCTTGGACCTCAAGAGCCAGCCCCGAGAGACAATCTGCGGCATATCAGCGAGAGTCTACGAAACGACGCCCGTCGGGTTCGTTCTAAAATGCCCCTATGTCGCCAAGTTCGCAGCACTAGCAGAGCCATGGATTGGTACCGTTTCCGCTTCACGCATCCAACCCTGATACCCACGGATAAAGCACTGCAGCTCTTTACTATGGGCAAGTCTTCGCCGTTTCCGTCATATCTACTCCATGATGCAAGACGGGCGGTGGAGTGTTTGTGGTACGTGTACGGGCATGACGGGAAGATGGGCGATGAGGTTCGATGCGCCCGAGACAGGAAGACAATGCAAGTACGCCACGCCACACACAACAAGGACAGACGCGCCGACGCAAGCCCCGTGGCAGAACTGGACCGGTTGGAGTCTTTTCTGAAGTGCGTCAGATGGGCCTATGCCCCTTATCGACGAAATGCTCCCAAGCTTCTGCTGGAGCCCGCTGACTACCGCCGATACATCGAGGCCGAGGACCCGAAGGTTATCGGCAAGCAACTTTTGGCGGACTTCGGAATTTCAAAAAACGATTCGTGCATCAGAACCGTCTTCCCCAGCTTGACCGCGCTATACATGCCATCCTATTCGTCGACGCGAACGCGTGAAGTAGCTTCATACATATGGCCCGAAATGGTGGACGAGGAACTCAGGAAGATCTACTGGGAAGACGCGGTTCACAAGCTCAAGCTTCATCTCGCGAAAGCACCACAGGTGGCAGAACATGAGGACGGCAATGTCTTAGCATGTGACGCTTCGCTTGGTCAGGACGGGCTTGATGAAGCTACCGAGAAGTACGTCGCAGCTACCGCGTTGAACAAGCCCAAGACTGGGGTGCAGAAGACCTGCTACATCTGCCGTCTGCGAATCCACAAGCCGCACAAGATTTTCTCGGCAATGTGTGAGCCCTGTGGCGAGTTCAACCTCGCAGGCTCTAGCGCCTCCTTGCCTCATAACCTGAGGCTTGAGGGCAGGACAGCTCTCGTCACGGGAGCTCGGGTGAATTTGGGATTCCATGTCGTCCTGCGCCTTCTTCACTGCGGCGCCTCTGTCATCGCCTCGACAAGGTATCCCAGGGACGCAGTTGCGCGATATCAGGAACAGCCGGATTCCGCGGACTGGATGGGTCGTCTGAGGGTGGTGGGAGCTAACTTTCGCACTGCCAATGACGCATTTGCGTTGGTTGGTCAAACGAGATCCATTCTTAAGGAATGGGGAAGGGGCCTGGACATCCTCATCAATAATGCTGCGCAGACATTGACCGACAGCGTGGAGACGGAAGAGGCAGCAGTCACGCGTGAGACTGCTCTAAAAGGCAGAGTGATGCCTATGCTAGCTGAGGGCAGTTATGAAGCAAGGGTCTGGCGTGGTGCGTCGCCAAACAACGTGCTGAAAGATGCCGTCCGCGAGGAAAACATTCAAGCCAAAGCCAAGAGCCCCACTGGGGCATTTCCTGCAAAAGAGGCGACTTCAGAAACGTTCGGCCTCGAAGATTTGACTCTAGGGCAGAAATCCGGGGGAGAGGAAGGGGTCGGAACTGGAGAAATCATCAAACGACCAGAGCCGTCTTCATGGGTGCAGGCACTGTCAGACATCCCATACGAGGATGTGATAACCGCGCATAGTATCAACACTTTTGTGCCACTCATCCTCATCCGAGAGCTCCTGCCGATCATTGGCCACCGAAAACATGACGACCCTGAGCAGCCAAACACTGGCCACGTCGTCAATGTATCCTCTCGCGAGGGCATTTTCGAAGCTAGCCCTAAGCACGGGGCCAAGAAAGGCAAACACGTCCATACCAACATGTCGAAGGCTGGTCTGAACATGATAACGGAGACGGAAGCATCCACCGCATGGCAGAAGTACAGAGTCTGCATGAACACGGTCGACCCTGGATACATGAGTGCGGCACCTGAATACGAGAAAGCCTACGGCGGCGAGAGGCCGCTTGGCTGGGAGGATGGAGCAGGAAGGGTCCTGTGGCCGATTGCTATGGGCGAGGGTAGCAATGGAGGTGAGAGGGAGAAGAACAGGATGGGGCCTATTTGGGGCCGTTTCTTAAAGCACTACGGTGCTGTCCGAGTCGACACGCGGCTGGGACGCGGCTGAAAAGGGGTTCACCCGGTGTTCGGAGCAGGGATAGGAGGTTTTGTTGGACATCAAGCGATGGATGTAGCATGTTGTACATTTTGCCTATGGACTTAATTCATAAAAAAAGTCCACATCTGTGAATACCTCATGAGGAGTGCCATTGGTTTTGTGAGAAAGGATCACAGTACTCCCGTGTCTAATATTGTATGTATAGATATGGCCTGCTTGTTTCGACTATTATCTTGATGACAGCGTCGCGAGAGGTTGGAATAACCCCAGACTTGGCTCTCAAGATAAGGACGGGTGATAAAATGTAAGCAGATTTAGTGATCTGAACGTCTGGTTCAAGTGCAAGAGCGTCATGCGTGACGGCTGGTATGCATGGCTGTCGAAGAGTCAACACATCCTGCCCATGTATGTGGTATTAGAACACACTTGTCACAGACATATAGAGATGCAAGTGATGAAGCAATGAAGCAAATGATAGTTAATTGTGGTTGTTAAGGAGAGAAATCTCCCCGCTATTAAACGCTTAGAAGGAGCCTATTTATAGGTTAGCGCTAGCGTATGGGCATATAACCCTCGTACCTTTTAATACACCCCTTATCGTAAGTATCATTGCCTTAATGATAATAAGAAATATTTCGTTTTAATAGTTAAAAATATAATTTAAATATTCCGCTATAATTTATATTAAGATTACTATATAAATATTATTTAATATTTATATATTCTACTTATATTATTTTTAGTTAATTATTTAAATGCCCTTTTAATAATATAAATTTTATATTTATCTTAATTTTAATTTTATATAAGCCTTTTTAAGGATAGGGCGAGGTAATGCTTTTATGTAAATATTAGCGAGATTATCTTTAAATGCAATGTAATAAATATTATATATTTCTTTAATTTCTTTATAAATAAAGTAATAGTAAATAGTAATATATTTTAATTAAGCGTTAACTTTATGATTTTAAACAAGGTTTAATGCTAGTTAATTATTAATATATAAAATAAGTAGATATTTAATGTGCTTAATGTTTAAATCTTTTAGTATTTAAATTATTTAATAAAGATATAATAATGCTAATAAATATGCTATATATTTTGCCTTATAAGTGGATTTTATAATAATAAATTAACGCTTTAATAATTAAGTAATTAAGCTGCTATTAAGGAGTTATATATATTTATTAAATGCTTTTAAATTATTTAAATTAGTATTATAAGAGGCGTTAATATATATATTAAGTATAATAAATTAAAATAATAATATTTATTTTAAAAATTATAAGGTATAGTTTAATATATGCTAAATATATTAAAGTACTTCCTTTATAATGCTTAAATAATAAATTATAGGTTTTATATTAAATATTAAGAGTATTATATATAGAAACGTAAAATTAAGTTTTATTTTAATAATAAGAAAATTAATAAATTTAATAAATAATTAATATATTATTGCATTTATTATAACGTTATTAGGTTCCTTTTATTATGAAAATGAATTTAAATCCATAGGAGTTTATTTTTAATTATAATTAAATATATTAAAGCGTTTTAAAATCCGTTAAGCATATTCCTTTTGGGAAATGCAAATTTTATTATTAATTTATATAATTTTTAATTTAAGTAGGTATTTATAAAGATTAAAATCCTTGTATTTAAAATATTATATAAGCTTAGTATAAAATTTATTAACTTAAGAGGGACTCTTAATAATAAGAATATTATTAATATAAATAGTAATAATAATTTAATCTTTAATGAAAATATAAGGATTAAATATTATTTTTATTAAATATTTAATTAATTCCTTTTTAAAAGTATTAAATTATTTACAGCTTAATTATTTAAATTTATATAAGGCATTAAGAAGTTTTAAAATAACTTATTAATTATTAAATAATATTTAATACCCTTGCGGTAATTATATATAAACGTTATATTTTAAATAGCTATATAAGTATGCCGTTTTAATATTAAATTATTAAAGCTACTAGCTTATTATAGCGGTAATGGCAATAATTAGTTTTAAACTATCATAGCGTGCTATAGGGCTATAAATATTATTATAATTTATATTATAAACTTGCATAGTGAAAACAAGCCACCCAAACAATAGGGAATAGGTTTTGCTAAACCCTCTTAAGGGTAACTTAAGGAAGAGCTTTAATGTGATAAAGAGGGAAGATAGGAATAAAAAGGAATTAAAGAAAGAGAAAAGATAAATATTTTAAAAATTCTTAAAAATAAGAAAAGCTTAATTAAAGCACTAAATATATATAAAAAGAAAAGAGTTAATTTCTTAAAAGAATATTTAAAATAAACATAAAAGCTAGCTTTTTATAGCTAGCTGAAATTTAATATAATATTATTTCTTATATAATTCCTTATACTTATTAATATACCCCTCTTTAAGTACTTTATAATAAGTATTACAAAAACCGTTAAAATAAAACTTTATTATCTTTAATTAAGCTTATAAATTTTAAAATTTATTTCGCTTTAATCTTAATTATTATTATTATTTTTAATTCCTTACTTACTTATTTTATTATAACTTTTACTTTTTTATAAAAGCTTTAAATATTTTTAAAATTTACTTAATAATATATTTATTAATTATATCTTTTTAATTATTAAAGTTTACTTTAATAATTAGCATTAATATAATTATTAAAAATTTAAATACCTTTATAAAATAAAAAGTAAATTTATTCTTTTTTTTAATTATTATATTAAGTATAATATGCTAGCTTTGCTAACTTTTGCTTTTATTTCTTATAAAGCTTCTGCTTTTACTTTTACTTTTTATAACACTTTTACTTTTAATATTTATGCCTTATATTTAATTACTTAGCTAGCTTACTTATAAGCCTTTTAAATCATCCTTAAGCAAACTTTATTATTATTTTAATTATTTTAAATTAATTAATATACTTTAAGTTTTATTTATATTTATTATTAAAATAAGCAAGTAAGAAAGATTTTTATATATATTAAGGTAAGCATTTCTTGCTAGCTTTAAAATATCTTATAGCATAATGCTTAAGCTAAAGGCTTATTTAATTAAAGTTATATTTAGCTAATTTTAAGCTATTTAAAAATTTATGCCTTATTATATATTAAATATTTAAAATTAAGTTATTAAATTAATTTATATTAAAGGTATTATTTCCCTTATGCCCTTTTTATAATTAATAGCAATCTTAGCATATTACAATTTAAATAGCTATTACTAAATAATATTCCTTTATAATAAAAGCTTACTTCTTGCTTTAATTACTTTTATGCCGTTAATCTTAATAAAGGGAATTAATATAAATATTTAAATGGCTTTATTAATTCTATTAAGCTTTAATTAAATAATAAATATTTAAATAATAATGCTAATAATAGCTTTAAGTATTTTATAATATATAATTTTAATTAAAAAAGCCTTAGCCTAATTTTATACCTTTTAATTATTTTTTTTTAATTCTCCTTAAAGTAATTTTTAATAAACTTAGTAATATACCATTTATAAAACACTTTATTAATTTATCTTAATCTTAATGCAAACTCTTTGCTAAAATCTTATATTTTATTTTTTAAGGCAGCCATTAAATATTTATAAATAAGCACTTTAGCATCCTTATTTATCTTACTCTTTTTATTTCTTAATATAAGATTATTTTATAGCAAGCAATAATTTTCTATCTTATTAAAAATTGCTATTATTTAATAATTAAGTATATAAATAAGTATAATAATAAATTTATAATCCTTTATTAATTTATATTATTAATATTTTTTAAGTAAGATATAATTATAATGCAAAGGTTTTTTAAGCAAAAATATAATATTTTAAAAATTAAAAAGCTGCTAAGTTATAAGGGCCATAATATACTAAGTTCTTAATTCTTTGCATTTATAAAGTATCCCTTTTATATTAAAGAAATTAAAGATAAGGAAGGCTTAATATTATTTCATTAAATTTATTAACTTAATTAGTTTTCTTAGCTTAAGGTAAAGGTTAATACTTAAAAAATATTCTTGCATTATCTTTATAAACTTATTATTAAATGCTATTTATTTTATATTAAAGAATAATAGCTAATTAAGAGTTTAGGATTGTTAAATATTATTTAAGTAAACTTTATTTATAATAATTCTTATTTTAAAGGGATTTTTAAAAAAGTTAATATTTACTTCTTAAGTAAAGTTTTATTAATTTTAAATATTTATAATATTTAAAAATTATAATACTTTGCTAAATAAATCTTTAAAGTTATTAAAGTAAGGAAGTTTTAAAATTATTAACATTAAATTATTCTTTCTTAAATTAATAGGCTTAATTATTAAAATTAAGGCATTAAGGTCTTAAGGTATTTTATAATATAAGAGTAATTAAAAGTATTTTTTTATTTTACCTTTTTAATTAAAAGATATCTTAGCTTTTAATTATAAAGAAAGAAGGTAAAGAAAATAAGTAGTAAAGTAAAAAGTAAGTAATAAAAGTTAAGTAATAAAAAAGGAAAGTATAATAATAAAAAAAGCTTTATACTTTTAAGAATTATTATATAAGTAATTAAAATAAAAAAGGTTGGAAATAAAAAAGAAATATAATTAATATTTAATTATAGCTTAAGGCAGCTTTTATAAATAATTATTGCTTATTCCTAAATAAAAATTAAATAAGGGAAAAAATTAATATATTAAAAGCATATTATTATTAAAATAACTAAATAATAGTTAACCTTTAATCTTTAATTAATAATAATATAAAGGTAAGAAGAAAAAGAAGAAGAAAGAGAAAAGAAAAGGGCTTAGCTGTAAATAAATAAATATAGTAATATATATAAGCTAAAGTAATAAAAGCTAATAACTTACTACCCTTAAGTTAAATAATTGCATTAATTAAAAAAAAGAAATAATAAGAAGGCATATAAGTTATTATTAAAAGCTATTAATTTATTATTTTATTAATAATTAAAGTAAAAAGGTATATAATTTCCTATTTTTCTTAA